TTCCTTAGATCTAATACAACTGGTATTGTAAAGAAATGATGCCAAGACTCGCAAATAAACAACCGTGGGTAACGACACATCAAACTGTTGAACAAACCATCTCCACCTTACACGGGTTGCAAATAGATGTCTCTTCGCCATCCTTTATATTTACGTGACTTGGCTCCGATTATAATTTTTTTCCGTAATTTAGATAAATATCTACAAGGAAAACCACTTAGTTTCCGTGAAACAGTAGAAAATGAGTTCCAAGACTTTGTGGATTCCCGTTCCCCACTATTCTACTGCAAGGAATAAATATACTTTCAGGTGGATGGTGGAAAATGGCTCATGCAAGCGGGTTCCGAAATTTTACAAGACATTTCAAATCAGGTCAGATTGATTTTCAAGATAGAGTGCTAGCTAGGCCCCTGACATTTCGCTCTGAAAATCAGGCTGACTTTCGCGATAGACGGTGAGGCTCAATTTACATTGTCGCGGAAAGGAATGGAAGCAACACCGGTTTTATGCACACCGGTTTTCATGCGCCATCTTTCAGGTCGCGGGTTCGATCCCCGGCCGGGTCGACGTAGAAAAACTAACTTTTGTATATTGTTTCAGGGCTGAGTGTTTATGGTACTGTACTTGTTTCCGATGTCTATAATCTCACTTCTAACAAGTGATTTAATTACTTACTTTGGGATCAAAACAACGTACCATGTGATAAAATACGCTTATTAAACAACACCACATACGTTGCTCCTATTTATGTGATGTTGTCTAATATTTATTTATTGAAGCAAATTCGCAATTCCTGCAACTACTGTATCACATAGATATGTGATACAGTAGGTAAACTAGATAGTTTGTGCGTTGTCTAACTTGTCAAGTTTATTTATTTATTTTGAAGCAATAATAGTTCTGAAACCATGAATGATACTTAATACTAATTTAATTTAGAACTCTTCTTAACTTGGAACAGATGACAGTTAAATATACTATTTAAAAATCAAAATGAACTTCTTTAAAATTAAAAAGAAAATCAAAAATAAATTTCATTATGCTATATGGTCACAAAACATCACTTTCATTCCCTTCCGCGGCAGTCCCATATCTTTCTACATAAGTTTTGTTTATAGTGCCCCTCCCTATCAACCTCTTGGTTATACGGAAAGGAATATGATAGTGCCCGTGCGGACTCTAAGCCGACTACCAAATCTCCTCATTGGTGGCGGAGCTGTAAGCCACGCTCACTTCCCGACGCCGAATGAACGGCATCTCTCCAGTTCCCAAATTCCTACGCGGCCGGAGGGACCGGAAGATGTCTAGCTCATCATCTACTAGCTCTCCCTTCCGCTGCAATGTAAATTGAACTAGGCTCCCGATATTTCATTTTAAACATCAAGGTGACTGAATGTATAAACGAATTTATTTCATTCCAGTATTCCCAAATCTCAGAAGTCGTAAATTGTAACTAAAAAAGGTTACAATAAGTAAAGGCCAGCTGGCTATAGTTCCATTACAGTTAATGATCATTCGAGCATAGTAATTTGACGACATACCGTTTTAAACCACACATATTTTAGACATGAATAATAAATTAACGACTAGACATTCCGACCGCTCAGTATACGAAGCTAATAATCATGATGGTGAATGAAATAAAATACGTACCCAAGTACGTACGTATTGTCTGTTAGTAAGTAAATACCTAAATGTTGTTGTTTATTTATATAGATCATATGAACATAAACGATTGATACAGGTATATTTTGAATTGCCCAGATTTATTCGTGATTTATGCGTGAGACTACTACATGGTAAAATCGAAATCTTCTTACGCTGAATGTAGAAAAAACACATTTCTTAAATTTTCATAAAACCTCTATCACCAGTCCTCCATCTAGAATGTCGTATTTAAAACTTCACACCAAAGAATGTGTGGCTTCAGACCCTATGTGTAGCTGTAAAAGTATACGAAGAACCGATTGTCTTAGGTATTTAGGGGTAATACTAGACGAAAACCTTAACTTCAAAAAACACATTGGATTGACAGCCGGTAGGGTACGCAAGCTTATTTACACAATGAAATTGTTAAGAGAGGCTACAAACGGACAACTGTTGAAAACTATATATCTTGCATTATGCCAATCGATTTTAAACTATTGCATTCTTGCATGGGGAGGTAGCGCTAGCACGTCTCTGTTGGCTTTGGAACGAGCTCAAAGAGCTGTTTTAAAGGTGTCCTTGCGTAAGCCACGTCGATACCCTACAGTAGACCTATACAAAGAGGCGCAAGTTCTTAGTGTTCGTAGGTTATATTTATTGAGAGCTACCCTTTATACGCACCAGAAGACGCTAAATATGCCGTCATATACTGATCTGCTGAAGAAGAGAATTTTCAAGATCTCTACAGTTGCTGTATGTACCCGTTTTGCGCAGCGTTTTCAAATGTTCCTTTTTCCTCGCATCTACAACATACTGGCAAATAAATGTAACATACGGCTATGTAGCGTTTTGGAAGCAAAAAAGAAAATCCAGGCTTTTTTGTTATCATGGGACTATGAGCAGTCTGAAACGATCCTACGCGTGTTATCGTAAAGAAAAAAAAAAAAAAAAAAACAACTTTCATTCATACACATATAAACACCCACCCATATATACAAACACACATACATTAACACATACATACATTAACACACACACATGCAGCGTAAATTGCTTGCTATAAAATGTTTAAAACTTAAGTAACTTAAGAATGATAAAGTAAAATCAACCTCTTATTAATGTATTAATTTCGTTATATAAGCACTTACCTATGTTATTTACCCTTTTTTTTTGTGAATTATTATTTTGTTTTACTACTAAGCCGCAGTCGATTTTGGTAATTTTATAATTGTTTTGGTTCCCACGAGACAGGCGTAGCCTAGTGTGGGGATCATAGTTTTTATTGTGTAAAATTGTTACTTTAAACTATGTTAAATAAAATAAATAAATAAATAAATTCATTTATGTGTTCTTGACCATTACGGCCTAAGGCTGAACATCAAAGAGGGCTCTAGTAAGTAGCTGAACCACAGACCCATTTGTTGTTAATTCTATTCTATAATCTAATCTAATCTAACCTAATTCTATTCTATTCTATTCTAGTTACCTTAGTTACCTTTGAAGGGTGCTGGTGGAATTACAGGCACATGAGACTTCTCAAACTTGAGGGTACGGCGTAGTGGCAGTATCTCTGATCTTTGCGCTCTATAGCTCTGAGTGGTACTGCAACGGTTATGGATAGAAGTGTCAGTTAAGAATAGATACTGCCTCGGCTGGAATCCAAATATTTCCCATACTTAATTGGTTCTATTGCGCGGGTCGAGCGGCAGAGGCACTGGCTTTATTTGAGAACTTATTTTTGTAACAAACATAAACACTTGAAAAATGTGTATCGTATACTATACGTGTTCTATTTAGTTCAGTTGATATTAAAAAATCATTGGTATTATGTGCAGTAGGTACGTATTTAATATAGCGGTTTTCTTGTAAAATTTTAAGGAATCGTGTTTTCACACCGCAGACTAGTGTATATCCTCAGATTTACTTAATATTTTTTCCAAAGTGATCAACACTTTCCCTGTTGCTGAATCAACCAAAGCCATTTCAGTTTGTATCTCTCAACTCCAGGCGCACGGCTTTTTCGTCCAGTCACTTGGAATGACAAAAAACATCACATTATTTAGATACAAAAATCAAGACCGGAAAAAGCTCCGTAGACCGTACTTCACATTGTAACATTGTAAATCGCTATCTCAGAGCATTCTACATCCAATTTTGGACTATGCAGCTGATTATTATCCGGATTCGACAGTCACCCTGGTTAATAAATTGGAACGCCTCCAAAATATGTTTTTTTTTATTCTAATGTAAGTGTGCATTAGAATAAAATGTGTGTAAGATTTATTTTCGAACTTCGTAAGTTTGACCATGTTTCTCAGTTTCGCGCATAACTTAAATGCCTGCACAAAAATCCACTGGCTTCACACACTTTCCCTTTTTACTCTACTTTATTCTATTCCTTTACGCCTACTACTACTACCTTAAAGAACGTTTTATTTTTCAGTCTTCTACACTCTACCGTCCTCTTCGCTCCTCTGATACATTCATACTAAACATGCGTTTGATATTTGCTCCAACTCGTTTATCTGCTATCCGGCTATGGAATTCTCTCCCAGAATCAAGAGAAATTTATTATATTAAATATATTATATAGTATTTAGTCTAACAATGTTTGATATTATTGTTTATATATTTATTTTATTGATAAGTAGTGTATTTATTTGTAACCCCCATTCCAACTATTATTACCCTAAGATTGCCTGGAAGAAATTATATTTAGCACAAAGCCGCCTATTGCACATTATCTTACTCTGTGACACTTATATTATTACTATTCTATGTTGTCATTGTAATTTTTAATGTGCAATAAAGAATATTTAATTCATTTATCCTTTTGGTGAAAATGTAACTTTAGTTTCTCTATGTGCAAACCTATATTGCACTTAATACAACGAAATCCACGTCTTCCATATTTACATTTCTTACTAGCTCTGGGAAACTTGAATTTCTCCCTTCATATGAGATTACATTAATGAGATCTATTCACGCCTTATTAATAGCCTTCTCGTGACGTGTTTAGGAAAAACACAAACACGCATGAATAGGGTATAACTAACCCAGTTCCGAAACAAACAAGTTTTAATAGGCAATAGCGGAAAGATAATTCAACTGATAAAAAACAGTGAAACTTTAAACAGGATATATATTCATATATAGACAGTTATAACGGCAACGTAAATATGTTAAAAGTTTTAGAAGAAGCAGATTGTTTTGTTCGATACACGATGTTTTATTAGATATACAAAACGTTAAAATAAAACGCTACTCGTTTCACATAATAATAATATAATGTAGAGTTTAGTTCTTAAACACCTTGAATTTCTGCAAAATTGCCGCACGAGTACTGGTAAACTTTAACTCTACCAGTAATAACGTACGCGAGATTTTGTGGTTGTGCTTCCTAAATGAAAAGATGCACATTAAAAAATAATTTTATTTCAATATTTTTTTAAATGTTTCTAGTTTCCGAGCTAAACTAACTATTAATAAAATTAGAAATGTTCAACACAATGAGGTAATAGCACTTTTAAACTACTGACATTCAAATAAGCGGTTGTAGTAATTATTTAAACAGTTTGATTACAATTGGCCTCGTGCACACAAGATTAACGGTCAAGGTATACTCGTCGACGGCCATCGGCGGTAGTTTCACGCTATAAACATTATTTTAGTTGTATGTTGGGACAAATCGTCAATAGCCTTCGATAAGTATGTCTGGCTCTAAGATAACAAAATTGATCGCACTTCTCACAGCACCAAAAAGGGCAACTATGTTTACGTACGTTTAGTACAACTTGCATAATATATGTATAAAAAATACATAAATGCAAACTTACATGATTGACACTAATCTCACTCGCATCTTGAATGCGAACTGGACACCCTAACGAATGGAAACTAACTTTAGTTTCCAGTTCCCGATATCACGTTGCAATCTTCAACATGCATGTCGTTGTTGGTGCTGTACAGTCAAATAATTCCGTGATTATCTTCACAATGTTTGTTACAGAAATATCAGAGCCCTCAAAACTTCGAATCAGACGCGTTCACGTTGTGCACGGAGCGAATATTAAAATTAACAATATTCTGTTGCAGGACGCGGCAATTTCTAGATCATACCGTGTTTAAGATAATTGCCTATAATTATATCGTACAGATGAACGTTATAAAAAAAATCTATCTTCCAGAATTGAAACTTAAAAATCTGTAAACAGTTAAAAGAGTAACATGTAGTTTTTACTATTGGTTGTGACAAATAACATTTTTTTCGAAAGTATAAGGAATGCTAGAAGAGAGAACTTCATTTATTCATAAAATTAAATACATCCATAGTGCCATATTCACTCCTCAGCTTGCTTCTGCAACATCTCAGATCCATTACTCTCTGTGTACTAAAACGTAAATTGCTAGGCATGCTAACACTGCAAACTGAAACAAAAAAACAATGAAAAGTTAATGATATGGAAAATTAGTCACAAGTTTGTACTCAAACACTGCCACCGTTAGGTGAAACCATGCGGGGCGCATGCGACATTTTTTTATGAGTGATCAGTAAAAAAAGGCCGATCTGTCACTATGTTTATTTTTTCCTATGTGGATTAAGGACTACTAATGCGGAAACTACATAAAATTTTCGCAAAAGTAGACATTTCTAAATTTCATTTCATTTAAACATTATTTTCGCGGTTTTGAATTTTTATCACAAGCACTCTTTCAACTAACGGTGGCAGAATAGGTTTGCGATAGTGTTAAAAATTATACTTAAGGGTAAAAATCTACTTCTTATTCAAGTAACAGTACTAATTTTGATAATCTATAACAAGCCATATACATCCATAACTGGGCTTGTGTCTTCTCTAAAAGGAGCCATAATCAAGTAAGCTCAATGAAAGTAGGACTTCACATTTCTTTCAAGAGTTTCTTGAACTTTCTTCACTGCTTCTCAGCTTTCATGTTGTTCAAGTGATAATTAGTAAACTGCCTGTGATTTCATAAAACTAGACAGTATAGAGGTCCTGTGTTTGGTATGCTGCTTAAGGGCAAGCATGCTTTCAACTAGGCTACCAATGGTACAATTGAGAAGCATCAGAACAAATATTAATTAAGACTTACCCATTTTTTATAATGCCAAATGATGCTTTTTGTATTTTTCTATGGCTAATTTATCCTACATCCTAAACAGCAACAGCTAAATCCACCTTAAGAATATGTTTCAAATGTACGAATCTGAGAGTCCATGAGAATAGACAAAATTAGAATCAAAATTTATCAGTTTTTTTGCTTAAGCTCCTCAATTATAATACTGCCTCGGTAATATACTAAAATAGTAATAATGCTTATGCTTAAAACCTAATTTTGAAATTCACCACCACATTGGGATTTTAAACACTTAGTAGTCTCTGCCAAAAGTAGAACTTAATCACTAATAAAGCATTACGAAGTGTAACATTAACATTGTCGATAACAATCTTTCTATGTCAAATGAACAATGAAGTTGACTATTGAAAAGTAAGTACTCTGATTGTTGGTTTTCCTTTGTTTTGGTACCCTTAAAAGCCATAGTTACATAATAATGAAGCACTAGAAGCTTTATCAGTACTTCTTAAAATGCTTTTTCAGATCATAAAAAAATATTGATGTCTACATTTTTATGTTATATCTAATTGAATTTAAAAAAGAACTAATAAATCTGTGTATATTAACATGTGCAATTAGGTAGTTGGAGTTGGCTATTGCTTTTTTTAGTACCACAAGAGGAAATTTCTTATTAGTCAAAGTGTACATAACAGTAAAAATTACAAGTATACAAGGATTTAAATTGATACTTATACAGAGAGCATAATATCATATGATGATCACAAGACACACCATTGAATATAAAAATCTCAGTTTTGTAAAGACTGACAAGAATCTTTAATATCTAACTTATGCACAAAGAATCTTTAATATATAACTTATTATATTTTTTTATGCAGGTATTTAACCTGCTTCGATTTTGTTGTAAAGTATGTTGCACTTAAAAAAGTAATGATAATATTCTACAAACCTTAAACTTAGGGTACTCATTCATATAAATTGTAACCATTCCAACATAAGGTAAAAAGCCTCTAGCACGACCAACTACATCCTTTTTAGTGAGCCACAGTTGTCCTTGTGCGTATAAACCTCGGTCATCCACACTATTGTTATCACCCTTGGTTAAGAATTTCACTGTTCCATTGTTCCTGAAAATTAAGAAAATAACCATGATAATGTAACCTAACTGTTTTAGCTATAGAAAGATTATTTTCTTGCTGCAGACTCGGCCATAAATTCTCAGAATGGGACAGTGATATTGCGCTCTTTCAAATTGTACAATTTCTATTTACATAAAGACAAAAATGGAACATTATATTTTGAATCAATAATATGTTTCAACCAAAATTCAACAAATTCATAACAAAGAACCTATAAATGCGTAGTTTTGTGAGTTTATGTAAATGGGCAGCTCTGTAAATACGCCATTGTGACAGCCACAAAAGCGAAATTTCAACATATATATATTTGCGACTCAATGAATAAAAACCAATACTGTCAAACCAGAAACAGAACCTTTGTGTAAATTTGTTACATAGCGTACTTTAAGAAGACTACATACAAAATAACAAAATATGTGTTCTAATTCAAGAAAATGTTACCAATAATTTCAAGTACACAATTATAACAATAAAACAAAAATTTGGCACCATTTCTCATATTTTGAATGAAGACTATCCAACTCATCATTTTCGTCGAATCCAAACACTCGAATTTCATATCAAATGGGTGAGAAAAAAAATATTTGCGCCGTTTTATTTGAGGAGTAGTGAAGAATTATTATTAAACTTACTTTTCATGAAGTTTCAGAACTCTGTGAACGATGGGAATGTCTCGCCCTTCGACTTTGAAGACAACGATCTCTCCGACGCGGACGGGCTCCTCAGGATAATTCGTTAAAAACAACAGATCTCCTCTATGGAATGCGGGCTCCATACTGCCCGAGAGTACCACCACTATCGGACTCTCACTCCCCGTAACCACCATGAGGCCTTTCCATATCATTAGCGCTGACGACACTATCATACCAAAACTTAAAACTTGGTAGATAAACTGAAAATCAATGCACAATCGTTAAAAAAGAACCGGTACACTTTGCACGTCATCACTCGAACAACAAAATTTTACCTGCCGCTTGTTCATGCGCTTGACATCGTCGAATAAACTGTCCAACATTTTTATTTATTATTTACTTTACAAATTTGAGAAATATTTCACTAGATTTTTGGTTATCCTTCCCGTGTTGTCGACGAATCGGTCAGACCACCACGTCAGACAAGCGCCAATGACAAGTGTTATCTACACGTACACAATGTCTCAATATTTATTTTATTAATATTTAATCACTTGTACCGGAAAATAACAACGACACCGCGAAAAAAAGTCATCAAAATTATGAAAAACAAATTTTAATCATATAATCAATGTTTAACTTTAAATTAACAAGTATGTTCACTGCAGTAGAAACGTGTACAAGCCACACTTAAAAAAAAATATTGACAGTTATGAAGTGTCGCCAATGTAACGACGTTAAAAGAACGTTCGTTTTATAGTTATTTTTTTAATAATATTTTACATTCTATGACTATGATGGCTGCAAGTGATCAAAATCAAAATGAAGATTGCTATTTTATATATCGATAGCTTTCTAAAATAGCGACTTATCTCAAAAACCACCTAATTAATCAGGAAGATATTTACCGGGCGCAACATCATGTCAATCACGTAACAATATTTTAATCGATGAATTGCTCGATGTGTTATTCACAATAAAATTTAGCTCATTCTGAATTGACTTTGAATCACCATTCTTCAAAAACTGCAATTTAATTAGAAACATTTGTATATATATTTTTACGAGACCTACAAACAGAAGTAATATACAATAGAGACTTCGCATATTGCAATACTGTATTAACATTGGTTTCTGTCTTCACACACGATGTAATTTGTAAATTGATTATATTTGAACTAATTGATTATATTCGTCTGTTGCTATTACGATGTACTGTTATGAACTAATGCATTGATTACTATATGACTGTAAGAAGTAAATAAAAATACATAACTAATTTTGAAAAGGTTATATTTCTACAATTACACGATTCTATTCAGAATTGTCATTTATTATTAATAATAAACACAAATCTTGCAAACCGTCTATCGAGGCATTTCAACATCCATATTCTCGGTAAACTTTAGTTTTATTGTAATGGTACTAGGTGTAGTGACGTCAGCAACTAAAATATCAGCGCCGTCGTACAAGCCAAGTTCAGTTATCTTCTTTTTCAAATTATCTCTTGTCTTTTCTTCAATACTCTTGATTGAAGGCATGTACAAGGTTTTGTTACGACCGTTAATAATTGTTGCTATTCCTGTAACAATTTTGTACATGAATGATGAGGATGAGAGCTTAAACCCTTCACATAACAAAATCAGTTATTATTATTCTTTGAAAACAATTACAAATGCTCTCAATATCTCTTACGCTCAAAATAAGCTCACACGTAGGTGCTTGAATGAAACTCAAGGGTTTACAAACTATGTGTACACAAACCTGGACTCTTCATCAAATAGTCCTGGCCACCACAAAGATTATCATAAATTGCCTGCAATGTAGCAGAAGGTTCTACTTCCATCACGCGCTTAGAATTGCTACAAGCCAAGCAGTCTGTCCTCCTCTCTGCATTAAAGGTGTATGTATAGACTCCATCAGCCATGTTTAATACCATGTAGTTAGTCATATTCGCACAGCATGAGGATGCTATTTTAAATACCTATAAGCAAATGAAGCTGTCATAATATGATATACACTACCAACTCAAAATGGCTGGAACATCAAATTTTTTTTGAAAGATAATCAATATAATATATTAAGTTAATAATTTGTTGAGATTTTTAATTATTAATTTAAAGTTTTATTAAAAGTAAAGATTTAGAATTCACTTTAAACAAACCTCAGTAGCACAGGCAGCAGCTACAGCTGCATTAGTGCTAGCTACAGCTGGAATAATGTTTTTCAGAACACCTTGAGTCAGTCTATATGTAACCGATGTGATCCCATGTTTCAAAGCTCGTTCTTGAGCTTTTTCCAATACCCATGCAACATGTTGGGGGTCATCTCCGTCAATTGTTGTTGCAGGACCCCACGGATTTTCTTTGGCCCATTGTATAACTTTTACATATTCTATGCAATGTTCTGGAAGTCTAAAATACATAACTATAATTCCTGTTTTCAAACCTTTTAAAGAAATAAAAGAATATCATCCACAATGAAGTGACAATAAGAACTATCCACATCAGCAAACATATGACTGTAAAGGAATTGAAAATAAACACTAGGTAGCATTGACCTACCAACAAATGGACATCGGGTCTAATACAAAAACCACGAAAAAATGTCCGAACTTACCCTATATAAATGTAGTGACATGTAATGAAATATAAAAAACTAAAACATTTAATTTAAATTGTAACGTCATTGCAGTACTGCTATTTTGCTTGCAACAATTTAAGGGCCCAAGAACACCATATTCAGCTTCAACTGGAAACTTAACAAAATGCACCATATTTAGCTTCAACTGAAAATTACTTGAACACAAGAGTAACGGAGTAGCCTTTCTCCTAAATGTTAATTAATTTATATGTATATTATTATGTCGAATCTTGTACAAATTCACTTAAAGAAATAATAAAGAGTTGGGCAGATACATACAAACAAATATTACTACAAATGTGCAAACAAGCATGTACTATAAGAAATGTACCAATATTCCAACTAAGCGTAAACTCAAATATCCGTAATTCCGAAAACGGATTTATAATAAAACCGTTACGCTTTCAAGTAATTTTGATGCTTCTCACAAAGCCAAAAATAGCTTTTGTTTTGTAATATTCGTAAAAAAATACATTTGACATTATGAAAATTCGAGCTAACGTTATTTCGAGGAAATGTATTTTCTGACTTCTGATAGGTAATCCCTAGCCGTAAAACGAGTACAACAATGTTTTGTTAGTTATTGCTAACGTTTAATAAAGTCATTTTAAAAATAAGATTAAAATCAACACGACTATAGTTTCTTTGTTCGAAATATTTCAATCGCTTATGGTTCGAACAATTGAAAATGACCAAGATGTTTATATACGCTTCTTGAAATTGAACTTCTTCTTGAAATCTTTTGCGCATGCAATGTGTAGAAAAAGGGCAGTTAGCAATCTAATTATTTTGTTTGCTTTTGTAATTTATATTTACGATTAATTTGTATATAAATTAAATACTATACAACTGTACAAAATAACACTTTTAAATGATAACTATTGTAACACAATATATTTGTTTAGTGAAAATATGATACAAAATCCTGTTTATACACTTTACCGCAGTAATTTTTGCAATTTATTATTATGTATAGTACTGCATAATTGACAACCACGCTGTAGGTCGAACAAACGAGGACTGCTGCGCGATTGACGCTCTGTATGCGATTTTAACGCCCTATAGGTGCGGACACTTTTTAGCGCGAACCCGACATCCATTTGTTAATAGGTCAATGCGAGGTAAGTTGTAATAGCCTCGAAATCATCTACCAGAATGTTTTTCCTTAAATATGAGACTGCATTATTCATTGAAATACAGTTTGTATAATTGTTATGACAATTTTACCTAGGAGTATTAGCAATAGTGCAAAGAGGGTATGTCTTCTGTGGAGGGTACAAATCCAAGGTACATTCAATGCAAGCAAGCATACCAGGCAGGATCACTCTGGCATTGCCTTTGAAACCCTCTGTACCTCCATCTACAAAAGGTATCACACTGCTTTGGTCCAAGCTTCCTGAAATTAAAAAAATTTACATGATTATGTTCTTATTTATTGTGCTGTAATATCTCTACCACATGTCAATTATTAAACATTTCAATGTGCTAATTTCTTACCTTAATAGTTCAGAGCATATCACCTAAACAAAATTATTCTGAAGTGACAAAAACCAGTTTTCCTAATATTATTAATATAGTGGTAAGTATTTGTAGATCTTCTTGGCTTAGTAATTAAGCAATATGAGTACGACAAAATTACCTAGATTTACTTTCAAGTCAAAACAATTTTAGAAAAACTTTTAGTTTGGTCTAACATTTATATTAGGAGGTACTTTCTATTCTTTTTTTAAAGTTTCTGGTTTCTCTTGTAGAATTTTGCCAATGTCATATCTAGAAAACCCTATAAGTAACTTCCTCAATAGAGAGATCTCTTGTGTGTCCTGCATACCTAATGAATTGGTATGATTGTTGTCATATCTATTTATTACATAATATAATTGTTACCATCATCATTATACTGCAACATAGAATTAAGCATCCCATTTAGCCAGCGTCTGGCAATGATGGAGTCAAGTCCACATACAATAATGTGAAATTGGTTATAGAACCCTTCGTCTAAGTCCTGGATGGTACAGTGATGTGCTACAGCTTCACAGCCTGGCACCCTAAAAAGAAGCAAAATTAGAATTTTGGTAATATATCTTGAGCAAATTCCAGTGCACAGCTGTGGAATACAGACACATATTGTATTACTTATCAGGGGATAATATTCAAATGCACATGTACGGTGTATTTCATCAAAACTTAAATAAACTTACCTCTTATTAACAAATTCAACAGCGCATTTAGCTTTAGAAGAACCAATATCACTTTTCCGAAATAAAAACTGACGATTTAAATTGGAAAGTTCTATAGTATCCATGTCGACCACATGAATTTTTGTAAAACCCATCAGAGCGAGGTTTTTGAGAAGTTCGCAGCCAAGACCTCCGGCACCAACAATTAAAACTTTGCAGCATTTCATGAGGAAGTCCAATACTACGGGAGACGGTTCAAAGTCAGGGTGACAGAAGGGACCCGAACGTTCCAAGACCTTCCTTATATGCTGCCATCGTCGCTGCTGGTTATCTGGTGTATGGTTTTCGCCGGCAGCAGACATTGTACAAAAATTTTGCAATAAATAATCGTATTAGAAATCTGCCGGTAACTACCACGCTGTAGTTTGGTCTACTATATCTTTCTAATATGTGGTTTGTTTAGTAGGCGATGAACAGGCGATTTGTTAAATGTATGATATCGATTATATACATATTCAATTAAACAGACACTGGGTTGAAATTCACAAGCAAAAGTCTCAAGTTAAGAACCGTGTCAACCGTGAATAAAAATTTAGTCTTATTCATGTTACCATTACAATTTAATGCAAAAAATATTATTGAAAAAAGAGAGTGAAATTACAAATTCGTGAAATGAAAAAAGATAGACTGAGAGACGCATAATTCATCACAGGTTTATTTTAAATGAGCATATGGTGTAGATGGAACAGAAAATAATGCGATTTTGAACGAAATGTCAAGAATGACATTTTCGTCAGAAACCCACTATTGCCGTTTTTCCGCAAATAATTAAATTTATGATTATTCATAAAGTAACTGATATCTGTAAATGTAATTATAATTTTTATTAATGTCCATTTTTTCCTGTAATTCATATGAATGTAAATATTTTTTTTGTTCTTACATTTTATTTATGACCAGTTACTTTCTGCAACTATACGTGCGACGTTACGTACTATAGCTGGTATTCATTTGTTGAAAATGGAGGCGTGATGGATGCGAATTTGTCGGAAATCTGGGATTTTCAACATAGCGGTTGCAAGGATTTCCATGTGAGTAGAAACCTGTAAATAGTTTCAACGTTTTCGGCATAGTTTTAAATGCATATCCTCGATGTTTGTCCATCGTGACAAAATGTGACTACGTTAAAAATTGAGGGAGAGACTACGGACTGCTTGAGGCTGCTATCTCGTGTGTGTACCATGCTTGAATCAAAAACAATGCATAACCGTATTTATTGTCCTGTTGTGCTGATAATTTACGCTATAATATCAATCAGATTCATTTCTACCTTCACGTGTATACGTAAGACAACAAGAGTACCATCTGCTACTTCATTGTCATGTTGCTTGGTCAGAGGTATTCCATGTTGTGGCAGTCGGTATTTGTAGTGTCTACTTACAGTGTCATTTATCAAATTGTCGCTGCGTGTTAAACTTATCGTGTTATTTTATGTTATCTTTGTGCTTTTATTAGGTTTCAATATGGCTGGAAATAAAATTAACCCTAAAGCTAAGGGCAAAGAAGATAAGAGTAAAGTAAGTAAGAGTGTGAACCAAAATAATGAAGAAGGTGACAACATGGATTTTGCAGTGCTCAGAAAACCAATACCTACAAGTATAACAGGATTTGCCCAAGCTAGAAAGATATTTGATTTGGCTACTGAAGAAGTAAGTGTAACATAATAATAATAGAGTGTAAAGTTAAAATGTACCTACTTGGAATAAAAACATGAGATTTTTTAGTAGGTATTAAAAAAATAAGGAAACCTCTAAAAAGGGAAGAAAGTATCAATGAAGACTATTAAGTGCATGACCTTGATGTTATTTCACTTATTGAATTTAAAATATTTCTGAATTAATAAGGTGATTTTTGTGTTGCTTTTAATTTTAATTGCTTGAAATTACCTGTAAACTTGTACCATAATCCTAATGTAGAAGTTTGAAACTAATACTAAAATTATAATTCCTTTTTCAGCTTAAAGATTTACTAACAAATGAGTGTGATTTGATGTATGAATGCAAAGTATGCCGAAACATATTTAGAAGTTTGGCAAATTTCATATCACATAAAAGGATTTACTGTAAAGAGAAATTCAATACTTCTCTTCATGGGCATTTTGTCAGCATAAACTCAACAGTAAGTACTTACAAATATCATACCTAAAGAAAATATATAATTTTTAAATTGAATATGATTTCTTTGGGAATGGTGCATATTGCTGCACTACATTATTAAAAAATCTTATGGCAATAATATTACTATGTTGTTCTATGTATATACATATATAGGGTGTAATAAAAATACCATACAATGTGCATATCTAATCAGGCATTTGTTTGAGGGGCCAGAATTTTTAGGTAGAAGTTGTGTTGTTTATTTTCGTACATGTGACTTTCAGCTAGGTCTTTTTTTGGAGGTACATGTCCAGGGTTAGAGTATAGGATGAAGAAGTGGCTATTTGAAAAGTGGCCCGATCTTTGTTGTATAAAGCCTGAAGACTATTCCATTAAAAAGTTATCTGTGGTTGAGTTGTTGAAACCAGAATACTTTACCATATATTCTCATAATACGAATAATAATTGTCTCCCCTATCTCCTAGTGGTCTATGACAGACTGTGAACCTTTACATGATTTTATAGTATTCAATTTAATGCATTTTTAGGCAACAGAAATCAAGAAAATACAAAGAATTGAAAAAGGTTACCAAGAGTCATTGAAAGAGAAAAAGGAAGAAGTATCCAATCATATGGATGATAACAATGACCGTATACCATTAACTAAAGATTTAACAGCAGTTTATGAGAAGATCATAAAGACTAAAGGAATTTACAGCAGCAATGAAAACCCTGAAGTTGTGTTACAGAAGATTCCAAGCAGTTCTGTTGCTGTATTTCAGAATATGAAGAGTGAAGAATGTGGTGACAAAATGAGGACTGAAGTATGTTTTACTTTTTATCTGTGACATGTGGTAAATTCAAACAACAAACTTTTAATGATTATTATGAATTAACAAAAGTGTAGAGTATTGAAGTAGTATAAATAACATTATTAATAAGTATTCAGAGCTCCTTTACATCAACTTAAATATTCTTTTATGACAAGTATTTTTGTGAGGACTGCTGTATAGAATTCTTTTAGAGACATGATCATGGTCATAGAATATCAGAAGACCTCACCCATATTTGGTTTGTGATGTACTATGTGATTAATACTCGTCACAAAGGAAAATCGTGGCCTGTGGTAGCATGTCTATGAGTACAGCTCCCTTGTAGATATTCTTTATGTCATTCATCCGCCTGATAAAAATTATAAAACACTTAGTTATTCGTAGAATTCTGAATTTTAAAAATGTAAGAGAACTATTGAAGTTGTAAAAATTCTTTTATTTTTATTATAGATAAATGAACTTGACACCATATTATCCTGTGACAAGGCAGTTCTCCAGAGCGATGGAAAGTTCGTAATCGAGAGCTCAAAAGAACTTGACAGATCTCAGGATCATGATGGTGTTATACAGATCAGTGACGATGATGACGATGATTCTAATGTCTTGAAATGTAAGATTTGTAAGTATTTCCTTATATTTACATTTTTATAGTAAGTTTTGAATTTGGAGTTAAATTTGACTGTAAATTATCTTTTAAAACTACTCACTTTCCTTTCCCTAGTACTTTATACAGTACATTACTACTTATATATATTTACGCTGTCCCACTGGGTTACCACCTAAAACTTATTTTACTTCTTCACCAATTGTCAATTATCCTAATATCCTCACCATTGCACTTCCAGGTGACCTTCAATTTTCCACCCAGAAGACATTGAAGTTTCATATGAAGTACAAGCACCTGGAGAGCCGACTAGTGTATCCTTGTCCAGACTGTTTGGAAATATTCTCTACTTCATGGAGTGTCTATAGGCATTTATTTAAAGTGCATAGGTAATAGACAATTAAATGAAATTAAGTATTTGACATATACATCTGACCTCCTATAGACTGGAATTGCATAGTCAATGATCCAACATACAACATTGAAACAGCAAAATCTTTACATCTATGAGTGATAAATTATATTTTATTGGTGTAGTAAATTTACGCTGACTAATATCAGTAGCCATTGATATTATGTATAGTACAACTGGTTTTTTTTAACAGAAAAACTGCAGCACAGATCAGAAGGTTAAGAGAATCTATTCAAGCAAAAGCCTTTAAAATGAATAACCGGCCGGCGTTCTATGAGAAACGAAAGGGCATAAAGATCGCTACAGCTCAGAAAATAACAGAGGAAGAAAGATTAGATCAGGAAAATCAGGTATCTAATTATCAAATTTTACAATAAACAAACTTTGAGCTTGGTGTTGGATGAGAGCGTGCTCTAATAGTCCCTACTCCCGTAAATTTAATTAGATTTGTTCGAAACGAAAGCTTTTTGTCTAAGATAGTGTATTTGTGCACAGGCGTGGATGGACAACATGGAAGGCGATGGCGAAGTGCCTCGCTGCGGCGGATGCGGTCGCACGTTTGAGCGCCGCGCCGCGTTGGCCGCGCACACGCACACCTGCCAGCCGCGCAGCCGCGCGCTTGCTCGCCGCCCCGACGCCAAAAAGATTGAAATACAAATCCGCAAGGACTACAACAAATCTACTATCACTGGCTTGCCTATTATCAAGGCCGTCGATAACCTCGGTATGTTAAACGTAATTTTTTTATGATTACTGCTATTTTTACATGTTACTTTAAAAAAACTAAATTACATTTCTTAATCTTTTTAAGATAACAAAGCACCGGTCGAAGATGTTCCACCTACCAAGGCACAGGTGGAAGATGAAAAGCCTCCGGAGAATGACGACAAAGACTCTGATGATGTCCCTATGGATCTCGCTGATGACGATCTAAGATCCAATGACAGTGCAGAGTCGCCAGAAAAAAATTCAGAACCTAAACATGTAGACACTTGTCAGCCTCTTATAAGACTTCCTTTCGCTATGCAATCCGAAAAAAGCAACCTAGCTGCCTTTAGGCGAAGAATTCAACCTGACATAATATTTTACAAACTCCTTTGCAAAAAATGTGACAAAACACTTGATAGTCCCAAGGATCTGTTTAACCACATGGCGGACCACGTCAAATGGATGCGTTACGCGTGCAAACTCTGCAACTTTAAACATTACAATTTTGAACAGCTACCTGAACACGTGAAAACAGTGCATAAACTTAAAGGAGATAAGGATTTCTATTTCAGCACTGTTAAAGCCATTGATGGCACTGAAGCCATGATTATAAGCAAATGTTTGACTGAATCTGACACTGCAGATGAAGCTGTCGAAACTAATGAAGCTAGTCCAGAGTCTCGACGACCAAGTAGATGTTCTAGTGACTCTAGTCGGTTGTCAGATGATAGTTCTTCGAGCAACACTATTAAAGAAAGTGGTCCTAGAAAGAGAAAAATGCATAACGTCAAAAACAATGCTAAAAGGAAGAAAGATGCTGTAAATGGTATGTATAAAATGTATAAACATCATAGTCAATTAAGGGTTGCAAGTTTTTTAATAAAAAACTAACTGGCAAATGGTCAGCTGGTACATCTTGTGAAAAATGGTGCCTATAACAAAAAATTATAATAGGTATTTAATTTAAATACTGTAATTATTTCGTTTCATTTCAGATGATGGTGATGAGCAGAAAGATGAAATTACAATGGACAAAGTATTGAAATCAATCATAGGTGACGGCACTTGTTCTTCCAACGTTAAACCGTTTGAGGAAAATTCTTCCGACATAGATGATATTGAAGAAAAAATATCAAAAAGACAAGCAATTGAAGACACGCCTCCAGTAGCTTCTCGCCGACCAGTACGAAAAAGGACCAAACCAAAACATGAAGATTTCGAGTATGATCTTTCTAATTTATTAAAAATGGAAGCCCAAGGTTATAGAGACTCTCTTTCGATAACAACTACCAAGACTACGCAGTCAGTTAATACTACCAAACCAACTGTATCAGTCACAAGTGCAAAAACTAATCTAACAAAGAAAGAAAGAAAAATCCAAGTTGAAGTACCTAATAATTTCGAAGTTCTTAATAAAGACTGTTGTGGAGCTCTTCTTACCTTGTCTAAAAAGGCTGTAGACAAAGCAGCAGCTGTAATGAAAACATCTTGTTTTGTAGTGTACAGTGCACCAAGACCTAACATATTTGTCAGACCTATGATACCAAGAATACTTTCAAGAGGTGACAAAGGATCGCCTAAAAAGGATGTTACTGATGATTTGAAGGATGGCAGTGGTGCAACCAAAACTTTAAAGGGTTTAGAGCTTTCAGGAAATCACATTAACTCAAAAGAAAACAAAGACGAAGATCCGAAGGATGAATATAAAGACACTACAAAAACACCCGGAGATGCTAAATCCCTTTCCAACGACACTAAAGATCTCGGAGAGGATGAAGTTAAGTCATCTAATAAAGAATCCGAAAATGGCCCCTCAAGTAGTGTGGGTAACCAAAACTCTGTTTCTGATGAACGTGAATGTGATTCAGCTGAAAATTCCATACTAAAATGTAATACTGCTAGTGGTAATATCCCAGCTGTGGTTCCAATTAAATTCCGTCGCCAAAGTTTGGAAATAATTAAAAATAATCCTATTATAAGTAAAAATATTACAGATTTTACTAAGGCAGGAATGAAAACTAAAATATTGGTGATCAAACCAATAAATAGGAAAAAAGATGGCGGTCCAACAGTGAATGCTCCTTTAAAATTTCAAACTATTAAACTAAAAGATCCTACCAAAAATTCTAGTGATGATAAACAATCTGATCAGGTAATGGTAGTTAAAGTTCCTAAGGTGCCATGTGCAACTGCAACAGTAAATGAGAAACCTGTGTTAGTGAATACCAGTGTAATTGATGTTGTCACCAATCAGGAGAATGCAGAAAAGAAGTGTGAAATGGATATTGGAATAAGTGCTGAAAATAAAGCAAGTAATGAAAGCGAACTTGCAGGAAAAGATAACAATGAAGCAGTTACATCAAATTCTGATGTGGTTAGTGATATTACAGTTAAGGATAGTGTAGGTGTTTCTGACAAATCTGAAAATGTTGAAACAGTATCTTAACATGTGTCAGCTATATGAGTTGATAGGTAGACTTAAGCTGTTGTTTATTTACGACGTTTTGCGCCAAATTGAATATGTATTAACAACATAAAATGCATATGAATTCGCATTATGTTATGTGGTATATTTCAGTTTTCTTGTTTAAGTAGCTTACCTCTGTGTTTCCAATTTAGATGTGATTTGACTAGATGTTATTGACTAGCAGGGTTATGATTTTCTGTTCAAAGAAAGTTGATTATTATTTTGATGTACTTAGTTATGTAGTTGTATATACAGTTCTCTGTAGGTTTAAATTTAGTTAGGAAATAAATAAAAACAATTTAAAATGCTTTATTTTATTTTGTCTCTAAACAAATTTACATTTATAGTTCTTAAAAAATGCTTGCATTACTAATAATGTTTACGAATTGTAAACATCTATCATCATGACACTTGGAACTAAAGAACAAAAGAGTGTTAAGCAAATGTTAATTTAGTTAAGTTTTATTGAACAAATGAGCTGATTGATGAGAGTACCATGATTGGTATAAAATATGAAAATTCTAATTACTGCCTTACGTGATGCCAGCTATGTGTAATGGTCAGCTAAATAAGCTGAAAGGTGCTAGAGCATGGGATTGCCTGAACATTGTTCTTGTCCAATTGAAAAATAGAGGTTTCTAAAAATAGTTAAACGATACAAGGTTATGCCATGAAATGGATATTAATCTAGATCATTCATAAGCATTTGCTTCAATATATCTCGAAAAATGTGGAATTGAGTAAACATTTTTATTATATTATTACAACAATATTATTTGTATTATTGTGAATAATGTGATTATTTTTATTTGTACATAATACGGCCAGGAGCATGAGGAAACGGCCAATTATCCATTTATAAATGAGAATATAATATATGCATTTGTTTGATTTGGTTATTTTTGAATTTTAAAATTGTATTTTCTCAATTCCACAATTTTGAGTTATGACAATGTTAGGTTCATGTTTTCTCAATTTCACAATTTTGAGTTATGACAATATTTGGTTTCGTATGTGATATATATTACTCCGTTTTCTCGCCAATAGACAGTGAAGATTTCAATGAAACAAATAATAGTTACCACTAGTAATTTATTAAGAAATACGATTTACATTCTCATCCATTCACATTAATGACATCTCTATTATGTGCTCTTGGCTAGAGTTTCGGCCTTCGCGACAACCTCCTCGATGGGGCCAACCATGTAGAACGCAACCTCGGGAAGGTGATCGTACTCACCAGTTAGAATTTGGGAGAAGCCCTTAATGGTTTCTTCAAGAGGCACCAACTTCCCAGCATGTCCTGTGAACACCTCAGCAACTTGGAAAGGCTGCGATAGGAAACGCTGGATCTTACGCGCGCGGGAAACTGTCAGCTTGTCCTCCTCAGACAACTCATCCATACCCAGGATAGCAATGATGTCCTGAAGTGACTTGTAATCCTGCAAGATCTTCTGCACGTCACGAGCGACATTGTAATGGTCGGCACCAATGATGTTGGGGTCCATGATACGAGAGGTGGAGTCGAGAGGGTCCACAGCAGGATAGATTCCCAGCTCAGCAATGGCACGGGATAACACTGTGGTGGCATCCAAATGAGCAAAGGTGGTGGCAGGAGCAGGGTCAGTCAAGTCATCTGCAGGCACATAAATAGCTTGTACGGAGGTGATGGAGCCCTTCTTAGTGGTGGTGATACGCTCCTGCATGGTACCCATGTCAGTGGCCAGAGTGGGCTGATAACCTACAGCAGATGGGATACGTCCCAACAAGGCAGATACCTCAGAACCAGCCTGGGTGAAACGGAAGATGTTGTCAATGAACAATAGCACATCCTGACCCTCCTGGTCACGGAAGTACTCTGCAACAGTGAGGCCAGTCAAAGCGACTCGGGCACGCGCGCCTGGGGGCTCATTCATCTGGCCGTACACTAGTGATACCTTGGATGTCTTGTCCTTGAGGGAGATGACGCCGCCCTCTATCATTTCATGATACAAGTCGTTGCCCTCACGGGTGCGCTCACCTACGCCGGCGAACACTGAGTAACCACCATGGGCTTTGGCGACGTTATTGATCAGTTCCATAATCAATACAGTCTTCCCGACGCCAGCGCCGCCGAAAAGACCAATCTTACCTCCCTTGGCATAGGGAGCCAGCAGGTCCACGACTTTAATACCAGTGACCAGAATCTCCTGTTGTACGCTCATGTCGACGAATTCTGGGGCCTCGGCATGGATGGCAGAGGTCTTGTCAGTCGGGATGGGGCCTCGCTCGTCGATGGGCTCACCGATAACGTTGATGATACGGCCGAGAGTCTCGGGGCCAACGGGGATACGAATTGGCGACCCAGAGTCAAGCACAGGCTGACCGCGCACCAGGCCCTCAGTACCGTCCATAGCGATTGTGCGCACGGTGTTCTCTCCCAAGTGTTGCGCGACCTCCAACACCAGACGGGGCTGGCGGTTCTGTACTTCCAGCGCATTTAGGATAGGAGGCAGGTTGTCATCGAACTGTACATCTACTACGGCACCGATAACAGCAACAACTTTACCTTGCCCCTTGCCTGCTGCAGCCTTAGCAGCGTAGTCCCTCTTGTTGCCGGCGGTAACAGAAACTACTCTGCCACATTCCGTGAGGGCCTTCTCTGCAACTGCCTTAGCGGCTAAAAGGCCACTACCAACTTTACTTACGGCCCCGAACATTTTGTATTATCTTGTGCACTTGGGAGAACAATTTTCGGCAGGTCTTCTAAATTATGTAATAACCTAAACCACACCACACTCGATCGACCCCGAACAGTCGTAGGTGATATACCATAAACTAAATTTGAAAGAATAGAGTTCACTTCACATTGACAGAGGACCTTACTACGGCCATTTCCCTATTTAATGCTCTAGTGATTTACAGTGCCATCTATCAACGTTTAAATTAAAATTAATTAAAATATTTCTAAAGATGATCAATGTTTTCACTTAATTTATAATTTTGTTTACTTTTCTCACTATGACTGTCTTTCTTTCTTCTCACCTAGAAAAGAAAAGAAAAGCGAAAGGCTCAAGTTTTCTCAATTATAACAGATTTTGAGCACGATAGATGACGGAATAGTTTTCCGAAGTAAATACTATATATAATACTTATTTTAAACATATTCAACGGTTTGCAGTTAATACATTCAATGGTTTACAGGATAATCAATTGGAATGAAATTTTGTATTCATATTAATTCATCAAATTGTCTATGATTTTTGACAAAAGGTTGCTATGACTGTCATGTCATGTTCATGATACTGACACTGAAAATGTCAAAGTCCTGGCAAAGGTACATTTCAGTCAGCTGTTCAGTCATTTTAGTCTACCCTATTTTTACATGAAATGTTTTATTTATAGATTAAATTATTAAATACTTTTTCATTTTACCATGTTTCGTAGTCGCCGGTTATGTGGAGTATGTGTTTATGTTCCTCTTAGTCGACTTGTTTCACAATACGTTTCTGTCTTTTTGTCACGATTTTTCACGTTTTTCTTTTGTAACCTGCAAAATGACCTACACACAAAAAAAATTCAATAAATAATGTTCTACATAGTAGTCTTATGATTTTTAGTTATTATGGCGTCATGGAAAACATGGAAAACTGGATTATGCAAGACCTTGTCTAGCCAATGTGAGATTTATAAACGCACGAGACGATAGTACGGTAACCATCGACCAAGATAGCTACGTAAAAAAGTTTATGAATGCTGTAGGATGGATGGATCACTCGAGAACTGTAAGGGAGTATTCATGATATATACATAACTTATTTTTATTGCTAAGAATACATACAGTCCTGCGTATAACATACTTATCAACTAAAAATATATTTCGGGTTCTACACTTTCTATCAATTACTTAGCTTCTTTTAAATAAATGGTATGATTATTTATTCATGTCATACTTAGCTAGTAAAAAAATACCAATTACTATTTGCACATAACTTTAAAACAATTTTGAAAAGCAACATAAGATTTGAAATGGAAAAAAAATATTATGTTTTATTTATTTATTTTACTTAATTGTTTCAGCGCCTAAAACTAACAGGTTATTTTCTATATGAAAGTGTACCAGACAAAGTATCTTACACAGAATGGTTTCAAACATTAAATCTTCCTGATACATTCGCATCCTGGTTTGCGGTCACGGAATTACATGTCTGGCTTTTAATGGTACGATATATGGCTGAAGATTTGACATCAACAAGTAATGAAAAGAAGAAATATGTAAAAGGTGACGGCCATTTTGTAAGAAATTGCATCATAGAGGCTCTTTGGGCTGATGTTGGAAATAGAATAAAACTATTAGAGGTAAGATTCAATATGATCACTAAAATATGTTTTGTCATAAGTTCTCACAGGTGGTGCTATAGCAAGAAGCCCTTTAAACTCAATATAAAGATCCACAACAAGCACATAAAGAAATTTGTAAGATCTGCTGGCTCGATCTGTAGCTAAGTTGCCTGAATGATAGCCGTGTTGAGGCAACAGTTGATGGTTCGAGGGCAGTTGGGCTGGAGCAAGTTTCTTTGTGCTTGTATCAATAGTAATTAACAAACCAGTATTTACCCGAAAAATGAATAAATATCATGGCAGTAATAACATCATGACATTCAATAAAAATAAAAAATAAAATGTAGACAAATTACATTGGTTTTAGGGGTATAAAGAAGCAATTATTTTCTTAAACAATGAGTTCTTCTACATTGTGACTAGAACCTTTCGGTAGATGCAATAAATGCTAATTTAGATGCTGTGGCTCTTAAGATTGAGAAATAGTGGAACCACATTAAGATTTGGTCTTTTTATTATATTTTGTTTAGTTTTGTATCTGTCTTTAGCTTTTGAAATTGTGACTTTTCGACTATATTCAGACAAAAGCTACAAGCTCTGAGCATGTAAAGCTTGACACTTAAGATTTAAATCCAACTCTATGCTTACAATTAGAATGGTTCAAATTAGAAAGTGTCAAGCTTGACGTGCTCTTGACTGTGCTATAAAACACCCTTGTAACTTTGAAGTAACAAACTCACAAAAATCTGCTTTTTTGTGTGCCTAAAACCAAATAAAATACGATTTTTTAATCTGAGTAGTTAATTTGAAAAACTCGATTATAGTTATATTGGAACGACAAGCAACCACTTTTACCAATAAAATTATTAATTTCATTGTTAAAAGTGATCACAACAATAACATTACTAATTACCATGTTTGCTTTAATTGCGAATAAAAATATTGTAGTTAACAATGAAAATCAAAGAAGGTTTGCAATATCTCTTCATACACATGTAAAGCCCCAAATTGGGATATGATAATCCACCTTATTACCATTGAATAATTACAGGGAGCAAATCCAGCAATAGCAAGAAAACAAGTGACAGAATTATCAGAGCAATTCCAAGCTGCTCTAGTTGCGTATGATGAGGGTCTAAATGATGACCGTATACTCGCTTCTGCTGTATGGAGAAGACTCTTCAACTTAAATCAAAATACCAATGCTGAGAACATAGAAATTGTTGTTCATTTTATCAGGCATCAGGTGAGAGTTATTATGTAATCTGTATACAGGGTGTAATCGTTAAGTGTACTCTGATGAATAGTCCGTAAATGTAAGAGATATCAAAACACTGATATTTAAAACACATTACCTAATGAGTGAAACGTCATAAAAGGAGAAATATCCAAAATGTTAGCGTTTAACGTTAAAATTTTGGATATTGACGCTCCCATACATTTAATATGAAAGTAGTAGAGTAGCTTTAGTTTCGAAGAACTGCTTCGAATACAAAATGTTGTATTTACTTAAAAATAAACGTCGCTGTGTTTTGTATTCAATTAAAAGTTAGTCTTATTACTACATTTGTAGCAGTTTCGTTATCTGTAAACTTATTGTTACCTTTTATAGTAGGTAATTTAAAGCCTTTCTATGAATGTCAAATTAAATTAAATGTATGGGAGTGTTTAACGTTAAAGAAGGATGGCGAAAGCTGACCCAATAATTATAAAATCAACAAAGATCCGTGTATGGACTTTGCTAGTATAATTTTGCGTTTAAGTTTATGCCTAATTATCAATATATTTTTGGATATTTTTAGAAGTCTGAAATACAGAAATTGTAAAACAATGTATTTTAGAATAGATGCAATAACAAAACGCAATTGATTCAGTTCAACCACAGATTAGGTAACGTTCTTGTACATACGTTTCATTTTAAGCATGATTGAATGTTTACCTAACTAAAGTATTTTTTATTTATTGGGTATTTTATAGTACACACATAAAACATTAAAGCTATAAAATATCTAATGAAATAATCAATTAAACAGTAGTGACATAAAGTAAAAAAAACGCAATATGACAAAAATATTTAGACAATATTTAAATGAGAGATGATGAAAATTAGCAAAGGAATGTTTTGACATGAGGCCTCTTGTCATTGTTAACGTCGCAATGATATTGAGAGCACTGTGACCCATTTTGTGACAGATGTCTGCCATTTGGGCAGATTTAATTTTTATTCATTTTCATTGCTGCAGAACATGACAAGTTGTTTTAAATGTAACAGAGTTTGGCAGATTTGGGAATATTCAGCAAGTTCTTTATTATTTCATAAATATATATCATCTGAAGCGAAATACAGGACAATGTTATAAACATAACCTACATCAACTTTATAACCCCAACTTCTACAGGCTGTACTCCATTAACTTTTTTGATGCTTTGATAATGATTCACAAGTATCGATAGGTCTCCCTAATGCACGTCGTCAAAAATACTGGGTCACAAAATACAGGGAATGCCGCCATCCAAAATTTCTAGTTTTGTTTTTAAAAAGTTACTGATGTTGTACTCGTTAGGTAACGTATTTTCGATATATACAAGGTGTCGATTTGCATTCTCGCCATATTTAAGACATTAATAATAGAAATAATGCTAAATCTAAAAATTTTTTTTCTTTTTTTTTTAAATAACGCACACGCTCAATATAGATCCGCACTAGGGAAACCCTGTGTCGCGGGTGCCATGGACACACACAGACAACCACAAATTACACCCAAAGTCACGAGAGAAATAAATGTAAGCCATACAAACATTTCTCCCGGCCCGGGAATCGAACCTGGGACCTCTGCGTGGCAGTCCGGCATGGTAACCGTTCGGCCACGGAGGCAGTTATTTAAAAAGATATTCTGTTCAATATTCTAGCAATTGTACCTAGTAAACTTTTGTAACATTGTCCTGCAAGTGTACTCGCCGCAGAGGACAGTGACCCCGCCAGCACCGTGCGATACGTAATCTTTCTCGATCGCTTATTTACCTAATTTTTTAATCATGTTTATGTACTAATATTGTTATAATTTACTAATTATTTACATGAGTTAGAAAAGTAGACTGAAAAAAGGTTTTTTGTAACTTAGATTTGGTACTTACCAACTTTAGGTTTTAACTTAGCACATTCTTCACAACAGAAAAAGCAGAAAGAAGCCAGAGACGATTTTTGCGCCCAATTCTTCGACACTCGTAATCTACGTAAACTAAACGTTTCACCAGAGAACAAAAAGTGAAGAGAACGGACACTCTCCGCCCCTCCCTAGGATTAGATACCGCACCACGCCCGGCACGTTGCCGGACACATTGACTGAACGACAACAAGCCTGCCGGCGAGCCGTTTTCGCGCGAAGACGGCTTTGATATTTGAATATAGTTTTCATTTATTCATTACGAAACTTGTACGTTAATATACAACATAATTTTACGTTACTATATATAATGGTCGTGAATTGTGCTGCGTAAGGCTGTTTATCTTCATTTTCCGAAAGATGAAACGAAGTAAGCAAAAAAACTTGTGTCTGAGGCTCATTCAGTTATTGTTTTCTTCATTTATTTACTGCAGAGTAATATATGTATGTATAAAAAAATACAGATTTATTATATCAATATAATGAATGAGGCGCCATAACTTCGTGTGCTAGTAGAAAAGGGTTCTCGAATTTTCAATTCATATTGCCGATAAATATTACGTAAGTAGCGAATATACCTAATTATTAACTAAGTAATGATGATCAACTTGGACACGCAATTTCAAATACCTTGGTTACCTTATTTAAAAGCACATGTCCAAAATATAACATTTTAAGTGCTTATCGAGTTCTTAGGTTTTCGCGATTGTTACACATAGGAAATGAAACTATTTTTCCGGATTTGTTTTCTATTAATAATTAATAATAAATTGAACTTAATAAAAATTCATTCAATAAAATAAGTTGTAAAACTTAATATAGCGTAAATTGGTATGTTTTCTTTGAAAATTTAAATTAGGTATTTAATTAATAACTATTGTAACTATAGTGGAAAAAATAAGGTGGTTTGCATCAATATAAGACATAACTGGTTGAAGACTGTACCACCTCAGTCAACCGTGACCATGGGACCTGTAAAGGGCACGAAACGTCGGTTTGTTTGAAAAAACAAATATACGTGATTTAAAGCCGGAAAAATAGTTTCATTTCCTATTTTAAGTGCTTTTATATATTTTTTTAAATAAATCTTCAATATTACTCTAGTTAGTGAGTTAATGAAAAATATGATATTATATCGATATAAATACATAATGGACATGTGTAATTATTAGGATTCTGGATTCTATTAATAGAATCATAGATAATAGATTCGCGTTAGCATTTTCGCTATGTTGCCGCTCTGATTACGTAACGTAATAGTGCAAGAAAGTGATGAGTAACCTTCACACTTCACACTTCACGCAGACATTTGCGCGTACGCAGATAGCGCGCCTTCTCTTATATTTATGGAATAATCGCCTAGGCACCCTTAATGAATACACCCTGTATGAAGAAATGGTAGGCCATACCTTTTTATATATATATATGGGCATGCACACCTAAAATACTATAGGCATGCACACCTAATCCTAACATTATTTATGAACTCTATGTTAAAAATTGCAGTTTAAAAAAGTGATATTTTATAGAGCCTATCCTTTGGCTAAATGTATTTATGGTCGTTTTGAAGTTATTAATATAAATTTAGAATAAATTAACTCCCCCTTAGACAAAAATTATTAACTTACAAAATTAAATGCAATTTATTACGCATTAGCAAAGTAATTTTTTTTTTATATTACAGATTGTACAACTCGACAAAGTACCCAGTAAGGACTTAAAATGGAAACCTGCGATTTCTTGGTTAAGCATAAAAGATCATTAGAAATAAATTTAATTATATTTGTTTACAATTGTTTGTTTGTAAAATAATGTCATTATTAACAAATAAAATATCATAAAAAGAAATTTGATTACAAAACGGAAGTCTTTTGTACGTATTTTCATGTCTGAACAAGGGCTTGGTAAATCCGAGCAGTAAGGAAGTAATATATTGCATAATAGGATTTATAAATAGATGTCAACATATTATTTACATAATAATTATCACTAGTTACAGATTTCCATGGAGAGTGCAACTGTTATGAAATTTTAGAAGAAGAATAAAAAGTTTTACTGTGGTAAGGAACTTATTTACTATTTAATTTCCATATATGCAAAAGAAAAACTTAAAAAACAAGAATACAATTCCATTGTTACCATTGTCCCTTCAAATTTGAAACGCCCGTAACGTATATGTCAATTGTTATGTAGGATTATGCAAATTAATCAGCTCAATGCATCGTTCACGTTCCCATAGAACAGTTATAACAGTTCTACAGATTTGGTTCAGTTTACAATTCGTGTTGCAATTTGCCAGCGGCCTAGTGTCGCTGAGTTTTCCGAAGAACGCTGAATATAAGTCCAATAGATGAGGATGGGTTGTCACCATTCTTTTGACTAAATTGTCGATTGAAACCGCAGAAAGATCATTCAAGGAGTAAGTGTTTCTCATATCATAGAGTTGGAACCAGTGCGGTCGACGATTTGGAGTCAGATTCGCTTCAGTTAAGTTGTACACGTAGTTCACAATGTTGTGGGGTTCCTGAAACCAGAACGTTATTGTAATAATGTTAATGTGTGTACAGACACATGAATTACTATGTATACAGATAGCGCAATCACTGTCTTTCGTACTCAGTGTTGCTTAAATTACTGTAATCTACTAATTATCTGCCAAAGTTTTGGCCTTTGTGTGACTTGGTGTATATAATCTAGCAATACACTCGCGTTGCATGACACTGGTCGTCTCACGCGCTTTTCATTGTTATGCGAACGTGTGCGTCCATACATGGCGCGCGGCAGTCGCACACAGCTACAAGCCGCGCTGTTACTTTGTACAGAGTTACCATACTTGTCTTATTTTTCTTTGGTGGGACTGTCGGACTCGTTTACTACCAGTGAAAGCCCAAAAGCAACTTGCAAGGATTTAAATTAAATAAAAACTTAAAATTAACTTACAAATGTCACAGGGTTAAAGGTAGCGATCTTGTAGTTCAAATTGTAATTGCTGTAAGTAGTGGCACTGCCAGCTCCCCACGCAACATTAATAGGAGTCCCTTCAGGGCTATAGAAGATTTTAAATTCATCCGAATGCGTGTGCCCATTGAACTCCGCTGCTATGGTTTTTGAAAAACTGAAAATAAGGTACAGGGTGGCCCATAGTAACGTGATTTTTTCAGATCACTTTTTCTCAGAGACGCAGGGACGAGTGAGAGGGGGAATTGCTTCGATGGATAACTGTGATCGCGCCAATTTAGTTACCATGGAGCAGTTCACGGGACAACAGCGCGCTTTTTGTGTTCGCGCCGTTTACGAAAATGGTCGCTCTTACATCATTGTTCGTCGTTTGTACCGTTTAGAATGTGGTTTGAATAGTAATAGAAGTTGCCCTAGTGTCAATTTAATTAAAATATGGGTCAAACGATTTGAAGAGACCGGTTCCACATTCAAACCACGAAGCAAAGGCCGTGAACGAACCTCTCTTACAAATGAACGCGTAGAAGAAGTAAAGAGATCAGTGCACGAAAATCCTCGCATGTCAACTCTGAAACGTTCGGCTGTACTGCGATTGTCTTGAACTTCATTGCAACGAATTTTATCACTTGACTTAAAGTTTCATCCGTTTAAAATACAGCTGGTGCAAGATCTAAAGGAACAAGATTTACAATCACGATTTGATTTTGCCACTTTATTACTTAAAAATCGTTCGAATCTTGACATGCGAGGATTTTCGTGCACTGACCTCTTTACTTCTTCTACGCGTTCGTTTGTATGTCCATGGTCTGTCCTAACTATAGTCATTAGAAATAACTCTTCGTTAAAAAGGTATAGACACGCGTACCGATTTACTATTTTATTATATTCCCTAGTCCAAGTGTGAGTTAAATCGGTGACACCAGGAGGTATATGCGTTAAAATGTGAACTTTTTCACCAGCTTGTTCAGCTTTATATAACTCTTCGACCAGCCAATCTAAATGCCTCTTTGCTTCTAGAGGGTCGTATAATATCCACCTGTAATCAAGTAAATTTAATAATTGTTAGTTCAAAAAATATCTATCAAAAATTAAATGTTAACGCCCTATTTATAATACTAATTCCCATTGTGCTTAATAGGTTATTCTTTACACTTGAAGCATAATGTTTTAATTGATCAAGAGCGTATTATTATTTTACTATTTGATTAGTGTGAATAATATCCAATTAAGAAATTAAAATAAATTTAGGCAATGTTCGTTTTTTAAATGTAAAAAGCTTAGGAAACGAAACTATTTTTCCGGATTTAAATCGGTTTGTTTGAAAAAACAAATATATGCGATTTAAATACGGAAAAATAGTTTCATTTCCTATATGTAACAATCGCGAAAACCTAAGAACTCGATATGTAAAAAACTTGTTTAGCTCGCCTTTTTGCTTAGTCGAAATCAAAGTACCTTTTATTTATAAATCTCCTCATCAGTGTAGAGCACAAGCTGCTAAGCTTGATGAGCTCTTGACGCGAAAGACATTACTTTTCTGCTTTTGTCTTATGGCAACACTGCCTATGAATTCCAGCTTTTTATTAAATGGCAATTCAATTCGCATAAAACTCAACAACTCTCAAACTTTAAAAAGTGTCGTGCCTTGTATATTAAAATGAAGTTGTTTACATCGAACAACACGATTAACTGTCGTTCAAGACTTTTTTGACGTTACGACGACAGACTGTCGTGACAACGGAAAGATTGAACGACAGTCGTCAGACGATAAATAAAACATCACGATACAAATATGACGACAGAAAATCGCAGCCTCAAATGATTCTGTCGTGCAAACGACAAGGCGGCTGCCGTGAATACATAAATTGTCGTCATGATCTAGTGGAAACAGACTAGACGCGACAGTTGTCCAACGATAAATAAAACGTTACAACAAAATGGGAAAATCCCTTACTCAACAATATTCTAGTTACCCTTAATGACTACTGGTAAAGACTTATTTTATTTGGTCTTTATCTTTGAAATGGTTAGTTTTTTAAAGTGCAATTAAGTAAAAGGTACTCTATATTATTTCTTGTTTGTTTACAATAAGATAAGTATATGATATTATTGCCCAAATTTGGGTCACAGAGAAAGTAATTTACCACGTAAAGGAATAAACGTTAATAATTATATTGAAGTGACTTATATAACAGGTATTAAAATTGTTGTTTATAAATAACGTGTTAAATGTAGGCAGTAAACGCTCTTATTACAAAAGAGTAATTTCAGAATCATCATTTTGAGAATGGATTACTCTTTGAAGAAAGGAATACTTCCAGAGTACTAAATATTGAGAACAGGGAATTCAGCGAATTGGTTAGTTAAAGGGCATTTTGTAAATAGGTCACTTAAATTCGAAAAGAACTTACCAATTAAATTTGTAAGCAGCATTATTATTAAGAGATATGGCTCTTAATCCGGGGCGAACGAGTACGGAGAAATCTCCACCCTGCAGTAGAGTCTCTTTCGCTTCATCAGTAAGATAATGGCCCCATTTCCGAACCAAGGCTTCGTATAACCATGTAGTGTTCAAGTATGGTTCAGTTATCCTTACTGGTGCGAATCTGCAAAAAGCAAAAATGTAAGAGCTTAACGGTGGTAGCCCAGTTAGAGAAAGGTTGCTCCTCAACTGAGGTCGACGGTTCCATGGACCCATGACTAATTTCTAATTACGTACATTTGTGAATGTTTAGTTGCTAACTGTTGGCTAACGGTGAAGGACATCATGATGTTACCTACACGTCGAAGAAAGTTCACAACCCTAGGATCATCCCCGGGATGTATAATTGGCTTATAATGATGTTCAGTGGTCGAAATAGGCGGTTTTAAATGAGTAGATAATATATAGAGGATAAACATGTAGAGGTACCTACACTACAACGAGTGCCGTGGAGTGTTTGAAACCACCAATTATTTCCGGAAATTAGTGATGCAACGGGAGTCTCATTACAGAAACAGATGTCAAACATAGATCTTAGCGGAAACGGAAGCAGAAATGTAAATACTATATATAGACTGACTGGTCTTGCTTTTGGTTTCATAATTTAAGTGCAATTATTACACAACATACTACATGCATGCATCGTAAACATTACAAACTTCCGTTATAAAAGTTCGGAAGCAGAATGTGGAAAAGCACGAGGAACTCCCGCAGTTGGTGAAGCAGAAGCAGAGGTCTGTTGCATTATTACCGGAAATCCGTAATTCGAAAAAGTAATTAATTTATATTTGGTGGTTTTAACCACTCTGTCACTTTTTGTATCTATATGTAGACATTTGTCTACTCATGAACAGCCTATCCCGATTACTGATGACCTAAGAATTTAGAAAAAACTTACTGATTGGTAGGTTGACTTTCATGATTGCCAATGACAGGTACTACAAGAACATCATCTCCGAAACTCTGCCTCATCTTATCGATCAAGTGTCTATTCACTTCATCGATCAGCTCGTATGTTGTTTCCCAAACGAAGTGATCAATTGTATCTCCTATGTAGTAGACTACGTCTATATTCTGGAATTACAAGCCTGATTATTATATATATATAATATAATAATAATTCTTTATTGACAGGTAAATACCCATGTTACAATTTACAAATATTTCTGAAATAAAGTTAATACAAGTCATCAAAAATATAAATAAATAAAGAAGCTACAATAAAATTACAAATTGAAAGATAACACTGTCATTTTTTATTCCCGTCGCGATGCACGGAAATCCCATATTTAAAAAAGGAATTGTGCATGTGCTCACAGAGAGTACGGAGAATCCCGTTGTCGGACGCACGGAGGCGGCTCCAAAAACAGGCGATGCGAGACCTTATTATGGCAAAAAAGTCAGGAACTCTGGCCTCGGCAAACATGCTCGATGCGCTGCAACTTCTCGGCAGTTTCATTAGTATGCGATATGCATCATTATACTGCACTCTAATGGTACTCATAGATCTTTTTGTGAACCTATTCCAGAGTTGACATGTATAAAAACATAAACAATATGCTCTAAACAATGTCACCCTGACATCACTACTACATCGCGCGAATCTGCGCGCGAGCATATTGCACCGTACAGCCAGAGCCCTACGTTCGCGTTCAATATCGTCGTCATCAGCTAGACTCTCCGTTAGCACATGCCCAAGGTATTTGAGACTAACCACCCTCTCCACTTGCGCATCCTCTAGAAACACGGGCGGAACGTTCGCCGGACCCCCTCCGGCCTTAAAGACCATCAGTTGCGTCTTCAAGACGTTATATTTTAAGCCGTGGTTGTGAGCATACTGCTCACACAGTGCCAGTAGTTTTCGCAAACCATTGATCGAAGGGCTGAGGAGCACCATATCATCGGCATAACTCAAGTTATTTAGACAAGTCGTGCCAATATGGCAGCCCACTCGAGTGCTCCTCAGCTCCACAATCAGGTCATTCACATAAAGGCTGAAGAGGTCCGGCGAGGTTAGCCCACCTTGGCGTACGCCACATTCTAACCTAAAAACGTTAGATGTTGTGTCGCCCCATCTTACGTAATTAGTTTGATTTCCATACCAGAATCTCAACAGACCAACGACCCTCGTATCCACGTTAGCAGCATAGAGTTTCTCCCATAGTAACCTCAAGTTAACTAGGTCAAAAGTAATTATGTGTCTACTAGCAGGTTAAAGTAGCTTATGGTATATTTTCACACATGCACTTAATAGTCAATGCTATCTCAGCTCGAATTCAAAATTTTCCCGCACTGAATCGGTTCTCTTGCGCGGGTCGAGCGGCAGTGACATGGCTTTCTTTCAGAATTTATTTTTTTACAAACGAATTTAAAGCCATTTGAGAAATGTATAACGTGTAAGGCTCAATTCACACTGGCGCAGAGTCGAAGTGTCGCGACGCGTCATGTTTTTCGCCTATAGCATATTCATCTCTATTTTCCCATTATTAAGGTACAAATATAAGGTATAAATATGCTATGCAAATACGGAATGCGGAACGCGCGCCTTCGTGTTTTTATAGTTGAAAACCGAAGCGACGCGACGCTTTGGCTCTGCGCCAGTGTGAGTTGAGCTTAAGTATATATATACGTGTTTTATTTGGTTCAGTTGATATAAAAAAAAGTCGTTGGTATGTAAAGTACCTATTGAATACAACTGCTTTCTTGTAAGATTTCAAGGTAAGTTTGTGTTTTTTTTTTCTATCGTGAAAATACTTTGCTTTAAACTCACGATTTTCACACATCATTTGATTTATAATTCAGGACTTAATCACGTATAAAACATATTTTAATTGCCTCGACGTTTCGGACGTATTGCAACGTCTGTGGTCTCGAAGGGACTCAACGTCGAGGTAATTAAAATTACCATAAATTGTTCCATGACCCAACTAGTTATACGTATATCTTTCAGTTATTTTTTTATTGTTTAAAAGTATTGAAACGTGTATGGAGGGAATGTTTATCTTTTGATCATTGTTGGTGCAATTAGTTTTACAGACTCTCGGGATCTTTGTGATATAAGCATTTTTTTTTCAATTTCAATACACTCACCTTATGAGTCTCAGCAATTCTGTCAATAACATCATCATACGCCCAAATGGGGCTATCACAGCTTCTATAATCGCCCCAATAGCCTGCAGGCTCATCATTTCTCGACACTGGAAATCTTGTACGGGACGAAGTTCTCATTTCCCTAATCGTTGGCACCATATCTAGGTCCAAAGCAATCTCTCCGTCGTTTTCGATTATGCTTTTTTCAATAATAGACTCGTCGACATTAGATTTGTACATGTAATTTAACGCCGGTGATTGTCCTTTTCTACAGCAAGTAGGTTCGCCGCAATTTCCTACGCCAAACGCTTCGTATAAGGGGTCTATGTGAGCGTCAGTTAGAACTGCGATTGTCAGGGGAGTGGGATCTGGTGTAGGATTGGTGACCTGCAGTAAAATTAGACATAATTTAGTTAATATTTTTCCGTGTAATATACTCTAATCATGCTTTATTAGACACGATTTCTTAGCGAAAATTCTCGAATCCACTAGGTTGCACCGTACGATTAAAAAGAATGTGTTCTGGGGTCAATATAGTCAATTCTCTTCATAAATTAATGGCATAGTACATGGAGCAGTTGACCGCTGACGATCTTTTCTGCGCCACAGTTTTACAAACCATACGGTTGCGCAATAATTGTATACAAATATTACCGAAGAATTTAAAACGATAGTTTACAAAGGCGAGCATATGCCATAAAGGGATTTCTTCCAACACTGCCGCAGAGCAACGCGACGGTTCACGGTATTCACGAGAAAGCGGGCGCCGCGGGCTGCATTTCATATTTTATGCTTAATTTGTGTAACGTGTGCAAGATTTAAAAAGTTTTTTTAATACGTTCAGCGAATCCTACTAAAATCGTTGTATTCATTTGTAATAGTGCACACAAACTTTTCTATGGTACGTATGTACTTTGATATCGAAATATGTATAAAAATCACGAAACAACATTTTAGATAAATTATTTTGCTTATACACTGCCATACTCATGTTTCTCCCATTCATTTATTATTAAATTGTTCATCCGAATACGAGTATCTACATTAATTTAACAATAGAAAACTGATAACATCGAAAAATTAAATATCACGTCTGATATAATATAATCTGATATAATATAATACAAAATTATTAATAAATGATAATCTATAGGAAATGAAACTATATTTTTTCGGATCTAAATCGCGTATATTTGTTCTTTCTAACAAATAAACGTTTAGGGCCCTTTACAGGTCCCATGATCACGGCTGATTGAAAAAACCAACCTCAAAAGTTCGTGGAATTACTTCTATTTGCCAAGTTTTATTGAAATCGGTTACCGGAAAGTGCGCAAAACCTGATCCGTCCCCTAATTTGCCAATTTGCCACCGTTACAAGTGTAATATTTTCTTTAAATTTAAAAGGGACTAATACTGGGGCACCCTCTTTTCAACAAAAAAAATCATCAAAATGAAACATGCATATAAAAATATACAGTCGAATTGAGAACATCCTTCTTTTTTGAAGTCAGTTACAAATACAAATACTTATACGCGATTTAGATCCGAAAAAATAGTTTAATTTGTAACATTTGCGAAAACGAACACGATACAATTACGTTTAATTTTTTTTTTTAATTTATGACAAACTGTATGACAGTGTAGGCCGCAAATTCGGAACGGTCGCAGTGCTGCGGGGCGTTCAAGTTTTGCGCGTACATTGCGCGCAGTGTGTCTTGTGTTGGATGTCTTGAGTAGTCGTAGAGCTCTTTGTGAAACAGTTCGTCCAGGGTGTACTACCACCTTACCTATTTCTGCCTCCAAGCAGTAATGTCAGCATTACTGCGTTCCGTTTTTGAAGTGTAAGGGTGTTGGTGAAATTAGATCTCAGGGTGACGGACGCAGTGGCAGTGCCCCTCAGATTATTACGATTTAAGGCTCTGAGTGGCAATGCAACTGGTTTGGAATTAGGGATAGGCGTGTAGCTTACTATCAGGCGCACGACCTGTTCGTCCAGTCAGTAGATATTATAAAAAAATAAAAGATACATTCAACACAAGACACAATGTAGGTAACTCTCAAACCTTGAACGCACCACAGTTGCGAAGTTGTGACCAAATGCCTACAAGGGGCGGCGATATCGCCGAACATCAAACGTGTTGCGCTACTGCAAGGAACATGTAAAACTGTGACTGCGTTACCGGCTAAGATGACGAGCTAGAGCTCTGAACCCGTATAATAAGCTATGTAGCGGACCTGACGGCGCCTATATTGGCACGAACCTATGCTAAAGAAGATTATATTCAAGACTCCCGCTGTACGAGCTTGCTACATCAAATATAGTGTATCATCTATGGTGTTGCATAAGAGCGAAATCCCGTATTTATTACCTACTAATAAAGTAGGTATAGTAAGGCAATAAAGTAGGTAAGTATTAAATCACTAAACATATACTGACTTCATTTGAAGGTTCCGGCAGCTCAACCGTCCATTCAAACCTGGGATCATTAGATGGGCATACGTCACCGTTGGCATTTTGTAATTGGAGACTGCAAAACGTTGCAGGAGTTGCAGCTGGTTCATTTTTTATTATGTAGGTGAATATTGGCTGTAATAAATAAATAATAGTAATAAAAAATACGTACCTACTATTTGTATGGAAAGTTGTTCAGTAATAATTCTAGAGTTACTCCATAAACTTTCATGTAGACAAATTCATGCAAAACATTCTGTGTGAAACAAGACTGTGCCGTATCACCTTATATATGTGTTGCTCATATTGGTATAGCTCATTTTATGTTCCATAATACGTTTATTCCCCTCGCCTTTATAACTGCCTCCATTGCCGAACGGTTACCATGCTGCTCTGCCACGCAGAGGTCCCGAGTTCGACTCCTGGGCCTGGAGAAATATTTGTATGGCCTACATTTATTCCTCTCGTGAGTTTGGGTGTAATTTGTGGTTGTCTATACATATGTGCGTCTGTGGCACCCGGGATACAGGGTTTCCCTAGGCTATGAGTGTGTGCGTTATTTATTTATTTATAAATTGGTACATCCCTATATACTATAATAATATACTTACTATATTCAAGCCGACAGCACCCTTGCAAACCCTCTCGTTCTCTATACCCAAATTGACACAAAATGACGAAACAACTGTAGTGAGACTTTGGTCCGATTGCCCGTTATGAACCTGTATGAAGAATGCTGACAAGGCACTTCGACATATTATGCAGTCGAGGGTCTGAAAGTAACAATTATTATACACAAATATGCCAAACAATGGTCTAAGTAATGTTACGAGGAGCACTAAATATTAAAACCAACTAGGTATTTGTAAGTCAATGAGGTAAGTACTTAATTCTGAAAAAAAGTACTTAAATTGGTTAAATCGGGAATCGTTAAGTACTTAACCTCTGAGCTACCAAGATCATTATAATTTTTGTTATTATTATCATATTTATTATCCGTACGTATATAAAAATGGAAGTAAAAAACTTTGCTAAACTCCTCTGGCACAGAATAATAAATACTTTTGTTTTTTCTTCAGTGTCCACTGAGTTCGCGGAGTAGTTAAATAAAATTACTACTATTTTTACTATAACGGACTTCCGCAAAGTAACGCCTGAATATATCAATCAATTGTCATCAGTATGTTATATAACTACAAGATACAGTCTTTCAATGATCAATTTTGTCTAAGGGTGGTTGAAAAATAATACGTAGATATTATTTTTATTACTATATAGGCATACCTGTTACAAAAAGCACATCTTTTTTATCAGCAAAAAATATTGTTAAATTCACGAAATAAAACATGAAAATGTTCGCGGTCAGTTAATAATTGTTTTCTTGGAGCTGTCCCAAATAAAGCGTTAGATAGAGACCAGTTTGGTCAGTAGACATCGCAGATTCGTACAACCTGATACTTTCGAGTCGACCCGTGTTGCCCTCTTAATAGTACCACGAAATCCTTTTTTACCAGAGATCGAGATAGATTTAGATAACTATTCGCATAGTCTACCAATGGCTTTGCCATAAAGACAAGTGTTTGAGAACTCCTCGCCGTTTATGGATTAGGTATAATTCTATTGCATAATGAACTCTTTAGTGTAGAGGAACTTCTTTATAAAGTATTGGAAAATAATCTTTTCATTGGATGTCGTAGTATTTTGAAAATACAATGTTATGTTTAATTTTTTTAAATTATCCGGTCATATTCCGATCATTGTCACTTAACATTGTATTTTATGACGATTATGACGAAAAATAAATATATTGATACATACTAGTAAAAAAATCATAATATTCCTTAGCTATATATTTAAGTATTAATTCCTTCCTATTAACTCTCCTGATAATTTTTCCTTTCCTTTTTTCTTTTTTTACTCCCGTTCGTTTCCTAACCTTTTGCTACTGCACAACTCACACCATTTTTATTTTTTTCCACAAAAATGAACTATCACTCACATCGCCATTACGAATTGACTGATGAGAGGCACATTGAGGCCTACATTTTACCGAAGAAAATATCTAGATGACGTTACTAGTTTCGCTACAATTGAAAAGCATCATCTCACCTTCAAGGATCATCTGGTACACCTTTCCCTATCTGTTACAACAGTTCTGACCTCCAGAGACTAACCTCCTGGTAAGATGGTTTCTAATGATACAACACAATGACGCCTTTTTTTTATAATATCAAGTGACGGGACGAACAAGTCGTGCGCCTGATGGTGATAAGCTACACGCCTGTCCATAACAGTTGCAGTGCCACTCAGAGCTTTACATCTCAAAGATCTGAGGGGCACTGCCACTGCGCCCGTGATTCTGAAACATAAGTTGACAAGCCCTATGTGTCTGTAATTCCACCAGCACCCTTACCCTTCAAAACCGGACACAGTAATGCTGACATTACTGCTTGGCGGCAGAAATAGGTAAGGTGGCAGTACACCCTGGACGACCTCTTTCACACGGACCTTTATTGCTACTAAAGTTCAGACATACCTACTGGTGATATTTAACTACTTACAAGAAATGCTATGTCCTTCAATAAGACGTGTTTTGCCGTCTTTGTTTTTATTGATCCTTCAAAAGTAAACTGTAGGTAGGTATACATTTGACTATTTTAATTTTTATATGAACTTAAACATTTTCTGGAAAAATGTTTTGATACACTAATATTACGAAACGTAGGCACTATAAATCATCTTATTATTGTATTTACTGGAACCTTATTAGATCCCATCTATACAATAAAAAAGACGTCTCCGACACCGTACCAGCCCAAGCGTGAGCCGTTGACGTTCACGGCCACACAGCACACGAAACCACTTCGCCAAGTTCAGCTATATCGCTCTGACTGACAAGGGGCGCTTCCGACGTCCCTAATATGCCATATGTTTTACAATAAAAACCGGGACATTTTACTTTAAAGAAATTTTCGCTTAAGTTGTAGCAGGTATCATGCATTAGGTATGGACAGCAGTTCGCACCTTTTTGTTACGCCCACTGCATTATGTTATAAAAGGCTGGTAGTGAAATATGCATAAATACTTATCATCTAATCCGCATTCTTTTAGTTACCGATATATACCAAATACATGATAAGTCAAAATACATGAATTGATTAGATAAAAGTTTGGAGATTTGACGATAAAGAATAGTATGACGTATACTACGTATTTACCTATAAATACATAGCTTTAATGTCTATGCAAGTACCTACATAAAAATTAGAGATGAAACGGATAGTGATTTTGCCGGATACCGAACGAGGCCATATAGCCGGATATCGGACCCACTGTCGCAAACTACGACTTATACGGTTTAAAGCGCGCTTCGCCGTGAAACGATTTGAGTTGTTGTGGACACTTCGTTTTTGTTAAAACAATAAATTTATTCGATAATACCTACACAACAAAAAATGTCAATAATGGAAAAATAGCCAATTTAGCAATATTTTGCTGTTTGTTTCTAGTACAGAACCCAAATTTCTTGTAGTGAAAAAGGAAAAAAGCAGTTACATTATTCTTTGTCTACATTTAAAGTTTCTAGTTGTTATTTTATAAGTATAAGCCTAGCACTTGATACGCCCGTTACTGTTGTTTCAATTTGATTTCATTAATTTGTTATTTATGGTCTAATTAGTCTTATTACACGTTTTATTATTATCGGTACATATTGTTCATACGAAAACATAATAAAATAATTCGATTATTATTTGGAAACAGTACGAATCGATCGTGACCGCTATCTTTTCATTTCGTGGTCTGATAATATCAAGCAATAGGTACCTACCTAAATTTAACAAAGTTTGCAAAAGTTTATATACATAGGAGACTCGTCTCGTTTATAAAAATAAACAGAAACTACTTTTACCACTTAAGAAATACTGATCTTCATCCACCATAATTTGTCTTTATTAAAATTTGAGTACGTACTAAATTTATAGATTATATTTTATCTAACTTCATGGTTCTTTACAGTTACAAGTAATGAACAGATTGTCAACGATCGTGTAATTGTTATTTATTTATCCTGTTACTATCCTCTTTAATCAATAAATCAATTTATTTGGCATACTGATTGTGAATTTTCTGTTTTAAATATCCGGTGTCCGGACGGATATTGTCCAGCCGGACAGTAAAATTAGGCCGAATGATGATGTTAATAGTATAGCTGACATTATGAATACAATCTAAATTAATCCGTAATTTTTTAAATACCGGATTTTCTCGGATGTTAAAAATTCTGATTTTAAAATAAAAATCCGGATTTTTAACATTTTTATTCACGTTTCCGCAGTCAGAATTTGGAATGTTGTGCAACAGAATCCGCAGCAGATTAAATTATAAAATAATAGACGATCTTTTTAGTGTCTGGTTTTTTTTTATATTACAGAATTTTGAAATATTTAATGACTAATACTTGTCAATTTTTACCTAACTTCTTTAAGAAGACTGATTCCCATAATTGTTGTCTCATCATGATGTACCATCCTATGCCTAATTTCGAAGAAGACTAATTATATTGTGCTATGCACGTGCTATGTATGGATCTCAATTACCTACCAAAGATTATATTAAAATTTGATTGATATTATTAAAACATGCATTTGTTTTTCAAGTAAACTGTGAATCTATTGAATTCTTATAGTTTTCGAAATTCGGATTAGAAATATGATCCGGATTTACATTCCCTAGCTGGCATTTAGTGGACTTGCCACCGGAATGCAGCTAGTGTGACGATACTCACAGTAGAGGTTATGACCATGTGTCTCTATATAGGTAGGTTTAGATAGGTGCAGAGATCAAATGATTACAACTGACAACAAACAACTAATTGATACTTTCACTACGTATATACGTATATGTATACATCATGTATAATGCACATCGCAATGGAACATTATATTACAAACAATATTTTTTTATACTGATTACATACATACCTATATATTAAACTTATAAAGGGCATTGGACCTTATGTTGTAACAAGTTCAACTTGTTACAACATAAGGTTTCCATAATTACCGATCTAGTTGAGGAGGAAAATTCCAAAGATCTGCCAGAAATGTGCTCAGGCCGGTAAACAATATCTATCACCTCTTGCAGCAATATTTGATCATCATCAGTCAACTCCTCGGCTAGAGCTTTTCTGAATAATTGTTCTAGTTCGCCTATAAAACAAAATAAATATAAATAACGACCTGACAAGTATGGAATTATATCTAAGTATTTGTCAACTTTTATTGAAATCGGTTAACTGAAAGTGGGTGAACTCCAATAACCCGGATTCATCCCCTAATTTGCCACCTTTAGAGGTGGAGTATATTCTTCAAATTTAAATGAGATCACTACTGAGGTACCCACAAACAAGAGGTACAAAAAGAATCATCGAGATCTTACAAATAAATAAATATTAGACAACATCACATACTCTGACCCCAAAGTAAGTAACTAAAGCACTTGTATTATGGAAATCGGAAACAAAGACGGTAACACAGAGACACACCCGAAAGAATATAGAAAATTTTTATTTCTACATTGACCCAGACGGGGATCGAACCCGGGACTTTTAGATTGTTACACCATGAAAACCGGTGTGCAAGCCACTCGACCACAGACGTCGTCAAATGACGAAGTAATCACATACACAAAAAAATACAGTCGAATTGAGAACCTTTTGTTAAAGTCGGTTGAAATATATATATCAGGTCAATCACACTATATAAGCATTGTAAGTATGAGTAGATACCAAAATAACTGGAACTCCTATCTTTTGTGCACGTAAGCCCGTTATTATAGTTATTTTGTCTTGTATTTAGGTCTGCATTAAGAAATTTCTTACAGAAATAAGTAGTACCTTTTGTTTGTATTTTCCTTTTATTAAATGTAATCTGTGCTATTTCCTGTGCAATAAATAATATAATAGTAATTATTATTATTATCTTTTAGGCCTAAAATTTAGGCCTTAGGAGAGGCGAGTCTAAAACAGATATAATAATAATAACTCCAAGAGAACTTTATAGACCATGCAAATCAAATTCAGATTAGGAAAGATCGTTTCTGAAATTGGGTCAACCGTGAATTAACTCAGAACACCCTCAGCATGTAAACAACATTAAACAATATATGGACCTTTGGTAAGAAATGAGAGGAATAGCCCAATTGTTGGGATAAATAATTTGGAAAAAATTATTCACCCAGAAAATTTACCCGGGTCTTCTCATTGCCACTCCATTTGAACAAGTGCTGTAGCACTTGCCAAACAACAAATCAAACAGTAGCAGGTTTGACGAAGACGCTCTCTATTTAGGTCCGTTATACTACACTATAAAAACATTATCCTGCTTTTCGTTTCGCTGTGGTCGGGTAAAACAGACAAATAATAGTAAATCGACAACATACCTGTAGTGATAAGCCTTTTCGCTAAACTCGAACTAAATAACATGAAAACAATAAATAACACCTTCATCGTGAGTCTACAGTGTGTCAATAAGAGATAATCGATTCTTCCACTTATATGTACTCGCTGTACAAACTATTTAATACTTTCCTTGAAATTGTTCAAATTGTACGTAGATACGTTACATGCGGGTGGTACAAATAGTTCGAGAATACTTATTATGTATCACTAAACCTAAAAATATTAACGTCGAATTTTGAATAGTAATGGCTCTAGCCTCAGAGAATACTTGTGTACAGGACACTTTCTTGACTCTAAGTGGTTTATCGTACATCTAATCTACCCTTATATAGGTACATGTATTTACGTAAAAAATTAAAAATTATAATGAGTGCTGTACAAATTACAAATACATCAATTACAGGGCGAATTTGATAACGTTGATATAAAAACATATTAATATTCTTGGCTAAAAGATCTTTTCAAAGTACAATAAAATCGTATCAATAAAATACAATCAAATAAGACAGTAAGTTCCATTTTTTTCTCTTTATTTATTTAGGAACTTTTATACAATTGTATCTGACACCACGGATTACTTAATAAGTAGTAACAGCCTCAGTGGCCGAACGGTTACCATGCCGGACTGCCACGCAGAGGTCCCAGGTTCGATTCTCGGGCCGGGAGAAATATTTGTATGGCCTACATTTATTTCTCTCGTGAGTTTGGGTGTAATTTGTGGTTGTCTACGCGTGTGTCCATGGCACTCGCGACGTGGGGTTTCGCTAGTGCGGGGCTATGTTGAGTGTGTGCGTTATTAGTTACTATGTAACAGATACATCATTCTCATACAAAATCGAAAATACCTACGCTAAAATAGCCTACCAAATCTGACTAATGACACCAGGCTCACTGCGAGGAAAAAGGAACCTAAGTACGCGCTCAGAGAAGAGAAAGTAACGTTGCCGGACGTGTGCAGTCGTACGGAATCCAATGCTGGGATACAAATGTAAATGAAAGACTTGTCTGAGCGCTAGCACTGTCGGCGATACACTCAGCGGTAGGCACTTATCACGTAACCTCGAGTAAGTGTCGGAGCCCTGCATCATAACCTAATAATAGTATCGTAGTAGTAATCATAGTAGGATCGAGAATTCAGTAGCGCGTGGTGCAGACATCGACTTTGTTTTCTAAACAAATAAATAATTGCTATTAGAGTTTACGTTGACTTGACTTACGTTTTTACTTTAACATTTTGTTTCAATTTAAATGGATTTTCGTTACAGTTTATTGATTTTCGTAAGTTAGTTTAAGCATAAACAATGACGTCATCTTAAAAAAAAATAGCCCAAAGTGGACAGCTTTTTAGAAGCGCTGGTTTAATTTACGATCCACAAATAGACTAAGAGTCGTATTCCAGAAATCTACTCAATGCTCAACTCAGGATCTGAGTATGATTTCAAGCACTGTATTCCAGGTCGTATTTCCAGTGCTTGAAATCATACTCAAGTCCTGACTTGAGCATTGAGTAGTATTCTGGAATACGACTCTAAGTCCCGAAAAAGCTGTCAAATTATTATTTATAAAGTGTAATTTGCCCATCACAAACTTACTACCTATTAGTAAATGTAAATTTTCCATCAGTGTATTTTCGAATAGAATTGTGTAAATCTATTACAATATCTTTTTAAATTAATGCTAATTCAATAATCACCTGGCTTGATCGGTAAATGTGGATCAAGTTCTTTTTCCTTATATATATAGATTTGAAGGCGAAAACATTTGCATCCGCGTCCGCATCTGCAGATATCGTTTTAACCTACATCCGCGGCATCCCTACTCCATACAAGTATTGCAGCGCGGCTTGTTTGACTGCGCGCCCGCCCTCCGCGCGTGCCGTGTACAAATGCATACATTCGCATAATCTCGCGATGCACACAACTATAAGCCGTGCTGCTACGTTGTATGAAATTACCATACTTGTATATGCTTAATTGTAAGATGATAAAATGATAAAACCCTGTAATGGTGGCAACAGTACTCTGATTATTAATATGAATGTTACATGGCATCGATTAAAAAATTAGTTCTTTAGAGTCCCGAAACGTGGTCAGGGTTATAAGATTATGAAAAGGTAGGTATATAAATAAACCTTGACAGATATTGATACCTTGTCAGGAATTATATGTCTCGTCTTGCCCCGCCTGTACGACGGAGTTTCTTACGAAAACTAATCAAATTATCAATTATAAATGCTCTCTTCATTTATGAGTTTATGAGATTATACCTTTTTGGAATTAGAGATAACACAATAATTTTATCATAATATTATGTACTCATAATACGTCAGTTAATTGTTCATAAATCAAAGTTATCAGCAGCTTATTATTTTGATAAACACTGATTTATGAAAATAATGTCAATTAAGATTATGAAAAGATTATATTTATAATTTCTTTTGTTCACCTCACGTGGTAGAAAAATATACTTATTGTTTGTGGGTCACCTCTAAATTAGGTAGATATCCAAAGATAATAATCTCAGTACAGAGTACTAAAAAAACCGACCTCATAAGTACGTGGAATTACGTCTATTTGCTAAGTTTTATTGCAATATCCTTAAATTCGCCACTATACAGGACTTGACACTGGAGATAATAAAACCGGTTCTCACTACTCAAAGTATATTGAGAGAAAAACGCCTTGAATTGGAGAAATAACAAAATCAACCATTAAAATAATTGCTGCTTAAGTAAAATTTAGGCGCTACTTATAAAAATGAATCTTCATGCGTGAACAGACACCCTTAGAGGTGGATGATTTTCTTCAAAATGAAATGGGACCACTATGGAATTACCCCTTTCCAACAAAAAAAGAATCATTAAAATCGGTTCACAAATACCGGAGTTATCGCGTTACATACAAAAAAAAAACATACAGGCGAATTGAGGACCTCCTTTCTTGAAGTCGATTAAAAAATACTTAATATGTGAGGTGGACGGAAGTATCATATAAGAAAGGGGAAACCCTTTATTATTGTCAAAAAATACTTACGTCAAATGTAATTGAAGAATCAACTTATTGAATTGTTCTATTTTCAATTATCAAATATCGAAAATGCCGATGCGATAACAATCAAACAGTAGGTATATTATAATAACTAATTACAAACCAAATATATTTTTTGTCTAATAGTATTGTACATACCACCAGAACATAGGGGCATTACCCAGAACAATCAGACCAGAACCAATGTACAAAAGTTCATTTCCCAAATTGGTCCTATCGATATCGGAACCTTCTCATGCAGCGTCCACAGTGCAAACCGCTGTTGTGCCGGCCGCCGAAGCCATTAAACCAAACGCTAAATTGCCCTTACAAAAATAACTATAGATGTTTACCTAAATCATGGACTAACAACACAGGACTACTGCCAATCTCCATACTACATACACATCACCAGATACTAAATGTGCATCAGATCGTAACTCTGAAAAATGTCAATCAAAATCCCGTCTAACATCTAGATGGCGCTGATCGATAGCCTAGAAGTAGTTTTTATAGTATGTAAATTTTAGGCAAACGCGTCCCATCGTCGGTCACATCGTCGCTTAACATCAGGTGAGATTGTGGCCAAGCGTGTGTCTATTATATATTTTTTTAAAAATGGCCGTGGATATTAATTAATTCCTCTTTAATCCAATCCAATCCAAGGTTCAATTTTTAAATTGCGTTCCATCCACCGCGACGCAAACGGTAAATAGTTTAGACAAAGACCTGTGCGGGTCATATGGTATTATTTTATTTTAATCTTTGTTTTACTCTTAGATTCTATTATAGTTTATTATCATTATATTGTATTATATCACATTGTATATATAAAATGTGATTTTTGCCTGAAAATTAACATATTATTATTATTTAAAACGAACTACAAATAGTCAATTTTTTGCCTTGTAATATTATTCAAATAATGACCACGAGTTAAAATTATTTTCTGAACTTTGACAAATTGCGTGGTAATAGATGGCATTGTGTGTTACAAACTAATTTATAAATTACCGCTTCCTAATATGGGCAGATGGCGCTAATCGTAGTCAAATTAAGCCGGCAATATCCATAAAAATCAGTGAAGTAAGCGCCATGTAGTTGATGAGTTTGTTATCAGTTCCCCATTTTTTCACTTTCACTAAGTAGCAAGCATTATAATAATAATAAAGCGCACATACTCATAGCCCTGTATCGGTGCCATAGATGCACACATAGACAACCACAAATTATAACCAAACTCCAAGAAAAATAAATTATGTAGGCCATGAGGCCATACAAATATTTCTTCCGGCACGGGAATCGAACCCGGGGCTTCTTACGTGGCAGTCCAGCAATATTATATATTATAGCAACTTTATTGCGCTTGTCATAAGAACGGTTGTAGGCATTGCACTTCGCTCTTTTAAAAAATACTGCAGGTCTAGCAGAGTACATTATGTGTGCGCACGTTGTAGGCCAGAGCTGAATTTTGAGACAGGGTTCTTACTTGATAGGAAGATCCATTGTCGCACTTTGTTTACCTAAACCGTGAATACTGAAGACGAACATGTGATGTGTACGTTTTACGCCTTTTATTAACAGTAATGTAAAGTATAAAAGTTTCAACATTTATGCACTTTATTTAGATAACACTATTCTCATAGATATATAACTTATGTAAGGTATGTTATGTATAACAATTTACCGGCGGACATTGGACAATATTTTTGCAGACATCCAAGAGACGAAATCTTTTAAGGTTTTTTTTTCGTGATTAAATATCACGAACTGACAGGTTCGTTTTTCTTCTTAATCAAACTTCACTCATCTCTACATCTTCGATGTTCAAATCGTCTAGCATTTCAGCTAGCGTGATGCGCGGCAACCCAGGATCAATTTCGTCTATATCCACTGCTATCTTATTGGCATCTTTGAATATGTTGATGTTCTGTCTAAATGCCGGATCTTCTTCGAGATCGTCGAGGAATTCGTTGTAGTCCCTGGAAATAGAAATCGTATTTATCTTCCTAGTTTTATACAATCGACATTAGACGTGATTTACATTTAAGTGTAGGGTAAATACTGCGATAAAAACAACTGAGTTACCCGTTCACAATTTCACACCATGAAAAGTAATAATGGAAATCCTTTCTTTAGATAGTCTGTATTTAATATTAAATTTATTCAATATAACATGAATATCACGATGTTTTACTACCATAAGATTCAATTATTTGTTGTGAAATGACTGCACTTTTTTGAGAATTGAAAAGATTGTTATAATTATTAATACAAAGATTGGGACACTAAGAAAAATTTCTTAGATGCGACTGGATTCTAACCAGCGGATTCAGCATACCATGCCTGACGCTTCCCCAGCTGAGCTACGGAACGGACCACCTTACGAATTTTTCTACGTGCTTACTGAACTTAGTTTTTGGTTTTTAACGACTTTTTGCCATAGAGCCATCTGTGAGAAATCTATGAAAGTTTTTCTCCAGTCGGATTGAAAAAAATTTTCGCAGTGTTCGATTTTTGTATTATTATTCTTTATTTAATTTCAGAACTTTAGTCCCAGAAAACATGCCAATCCAATCATAACACTATAGTACTTGTTGCACAATTTCCAGTAAAACTTTTTTTTTATTATAGTTACTAAAATACAAAGTCAACTAACGATGATTTACCACACAACGATTTTGTATATTTTGATAAGGGTTCAGTCAGAATCCCTTGAAAGAAATTAATGTCGAAGCAACTCAACGTAATCATCAATAGTTTTGGCGTGCTTTCGTTCTTGGTACATTCTATAAAAATCGTTAACATGTTACAGGCAAAATACTCAAACGTGCACGTGGCATAGCGGATACAGGAAACGTTATGATCATTTCACACACTAGCGTAAAGTGTGCAGAGTAGCCCACTTCATAAACTGAAATTTGCACAATATTGTATGGTAGTATATAAAAAACGATAAAACTTACTCATTAGTGGAGCTAATACCGTCATGTAGATCATCTGCCATATGTTTAAGTTTCCAGTTGCGCGCGCGCCGTCTCGCTGCTCGCTCGCCGTAGAACTTCTTCACAAGGAATACGTCCGGCACTTGATTTTGGTTTAATTTATCCAGATTATCGTCATTGACGTTGGAATCGCCAAGATTGTAGCTGTTGGTGTAAAATAATTTAACAAATAAGTTTTCCATTATTACTAGAATGATCACCATATTAATTATGGTTGTATTTCTTAGTTACGCCCTATAAATCTTGTTCTGTATTAATTAATATTCATGGACCAAGCAATGGTATGCCAATCCTAAACAAAATAAAAGAATAGCCAGCACTGTCCAAAAAAATCTGTGCAGTGAACGCCATCTAGTTGATTTGTTTGTTATTACAATTTCAGATGATTAATTTTAATTTTCAGCTTGTCAATGTAAAATAAATTAGTTACAAAATTATCTATTTTCAAAAGCCTCTATTTTGTACTCGTCGCGACATCTGGAGTTCGAAATTTAAGGGAAAGAACTTATGAATGGCTATAAATGCTTAATCAATTTTAAAGATTTCAGGTGTACAATTTCTTTACCTACGAAATAAAATAATATATATTATTTTTAATGACTGAAGTATTCTTTTTTATGTCTCTTCACAAGACAATGCAAAAAGCAACAATGACCACTTCTACGTAAGTCGTGGTTGCCTAATGGTTTGAACTACCGCCTCCCGAGCAGAAACCGTAGGTTCGAATCCGGGCTGACACGACCTTCTTGTCATTGGGCCGACGTTAAGGACTACGGCCTAAACCTTCGCCTGAGACCCGCACTCAGCAGTGGTACGTATGAAAGGGATGATTGATAACGATTTTCTATATCAGCCAAGATAGATGTGGCACTTTATACCAACATTTCATAATGTCAAAAATGTTTGATGACAGTCTGGCTAATAACATTCGTAGCAAACATGTTGACTAACATGGCCAAGTTCGGCAATGAGCCAGTGCCCTTTATATAACAGGAAATAGAAAAGTAGTACTAAAGGTTTCTGCCCTGATTATAATTTTAGTTACTTACCCCAAAACAGTGTCTCCAGGTTTCAAAATGTGTCCCAAATGTGTCTTAGTATGTACAGGAGAGACATCTAAACCTAGTTCACTAGCCTTTACTACCCACACGTCAGCTACTATATGTTTGTTGGACACCATGCCTTGACCGGGGAATGATTTTTTTTCCTGGAATTTAATTTTGGAGGTGAGTTTATATATTTTCGCTTTCTATTAACGAATTATTCAATTAAGTTTTCTATGAGACATTCAAATTTTTCATGCTGAAGTCATGCAAAATAAACTGGTTTCTATTAATGGACAATATTAAAGAAGTCATAACAACAACAATTTCTAAATAATTTTTTTTTTTTTAATTAGTCTTAAAAAACTTTGGCCTCGTCATACAAAAGTAATAATTTTGTTTGAAAAGTATAAAGAAGAAATTTATTAATTCTCAAAATTATTATTTTTGGGAAATAAATTTGAAAATTCTTCCTATTTCACATTATTTATTAATTTATGAATATTGTGTACTCCTTAATGTGATATGTATTACAAACAATTCTAACTTTTTTATTTAAAAAAACCAACCTTAAAAGTACCATGAAATAACATCTATTTGCCAAGTTTTATCCAAATCGGTTACCTACCGGAAAGTGCGCGAAACCAGATTCATTTCCTAGATTGCCACACTCAGCGGGACTATTTTCTTCAAATTTACTGAGACCAATACTGATTGGTCCCATTCAAATTTGAAGAAAATATGACTAAAAATAGTAATGGTACCCTCTTTCCAACAAAAACAAGAATCAGTTAACAAACCAGTTCACAAAATCGGTTCAGTAATCGCGTAACACACACACAAAAAAATGCTATCTGTGTGCTTTAATTAAGAATCACACTATAGAAGCAGTTAATTAGCTAGCACGCTTTTTTTAAGTCTGTAATCCTACTTAAATGGGGTCCAGAAAATATTATTAAATACTTACATGCTCCTTCAAAATATCAATATCCATGACGATATATTCAACCAACTGCTTCGGGTTGCAGATGGTATTGAAAGCATGCCTCCAGTAGACAGTTGATGATACGTCACACACTGAGAAAAATAAATAACGTTTTGAATTATTTTAAATTTATAATTCAGTATGTTTTCAGTGCTCATAAGGAGACATATTGCAGAAACAAATCTCGCTAAGTGTGATCAAAATCGAATTAAGTTTATTAATTATAATTCAGAGGAGTTGCGGCAGACCACAGCGATGGCGGGATGACTCGGACTCCTTTAAAGGACTGGCCATATTTTGCCCAAGATCGTGAGCAATGCAATGGGAAAAGAGGGGGGCAGCCTTTGCCCACCAGTGCGATAAAACGGGCTTATAAAAAAATAAAATAATACAGAAAGATCATACAAATGTATTTCAAAGAATTTGTCTAATTATATTATTTTATTTATTTCAGTATCTCTTAGTTTGGAGCCGGTCGACGCCGGAACGTGTACGGTCACGAGGAAAATTCAGCGAGTCGCGGCCTTTTGTGTTTCTTATGGTAGCAACACATTGTTTACTTTAATTAAATGATTTGTTGTATATTTTTTAGGTTTATTTTTTCCCTACCTACTTTTAATTTGTGTTAAAATTTTTATTATACTTGTTATTCAATTTTACAAGTGTTTATTTATTGTTATTTATTGTATAGTCATGAAAAAATATTTTTTTATTCAATTCTACATTATAGTCACTAGGTTCTAGAAATGTACAGTACGTTGTATTTATGCATAATTTTACTTACTTTGTCCAGTACTAGCATCAATAAGTTGTATGGTACTGGTAACTCTATGTACCAAACATATAGGCGATATGCCAGCCAACTGCTGCGTCAATTTCTTCGGAAGACACACTAAACTGTCTTTAGATAAAGGCACAATTTCTATACTAAAAGTGAATTTGTAGTTATAGATATTGCTATGTATATCATGGGATATAAGCTTCTTTGAGTGTTGACATTTTACAGGCAACATTGATTGGATGAAGTCCACCATTTTGCGTGCGTGATTTTCTGTTGCGTAGAAGAAGTCTAAGCCGTCTGAAACGAAAAGATGTTATGTCAGGCTTATGATACGAAAAAATACCTATACATCATTGACTTACAATTATATGGACGTCGGGTCCGCGCTAAAAAGTGTCCGCACTTGTAAGGCGCTAAAATCGTATACAGAGCGCGACACTCCGCTTTAGTCTTCATTTGTTCTACTGACAGCGCGATACTGCGATGACATTACAATTTAAATTTCGAATAGGTTGACTTGGGACATTTTTTTCGTGGTTTTTGTATTAGACCCGTCGTCCATTTATTTGTAAGTCAATGCTATACATAGTAAACGTAATTGAAATCTTTTTGATGACATACGCTCAGTACCATTCATCTGTGATTGATAATACTAAAATATTTAGAATAAACCTGTTTGTATTTTGTATTTTTATTTTTTGCAGCAAAAATGTAACTTATCAAATATTGAAATATAATTTTCCACTCAAAGGCCCTCAACTCAGGATTGCACTGACAGAATTCGACTGATACTCATCATAACATGTCTTGTATATTATGGGTTGTATTTTAGCATGTAGTTATGTTTTTCTTTTTGTGTTATTGTAACTACAAAATGTGTATGCATAATTATATTGTGTTGTCTTTATAGAATAACTGATTTCTATTCTAGGTCATTCCAATGAAATAATACTGTAAAAGGATATAGTTTCTCTTTGCGTTTCTTATTAAATTTAAGGGTAATTAGTTAATCTAAAATAATCAATTCATGTATATTTTTTTAAATAATGATCATGTATCTATTACTTTTGTTTTCTTGCAGCACGCAGCATAGTCTTTGCTATAGAAAATAAGAATTTATTTCATACAAACCTTTGAAATTAACATATACAATGTTTGAAGCCGTGTCTACATTTGTATCTATTGGCGTCATCAACATCAACGACCGCTAGTTTATACACAGAATGATATTCGATCATTTGATATGCAAAGCTTCATAAAAGTATTGTAATACTCACCATGCTTAGGTTTAATTCCTAAAGTGTTCTCATGCGCTTTATGCTTCAAAATGAGCTGCTCCAAATAATAAAATGTCTTTCGATTATTTGCGCGTTGTCTCACTTGCACCAATGCGCGCCAATAATCCTGAGCTTCGGAGCGATGGCAAGCATCACACATTTGGTGCTGAATGTTGAACTCAACTATAAAAGTTTGTTGAAGAACTGCTCCACCAATTACTTCACCCTGTACAGTTAGTTTCACCTGAAGGATAATATTTATTAGTAAAAACAAATTACATAAAATTTTTTCGATATTCAATTGTATACTACAATCTTATGCAAGTATCTACTTATGAAGTTTAGTATAAACCACAAAATTATATTTTCAAAATTGTAATAACAACAGAGTATTGACAAATTTAAGTATTATTTATACAAACTACTGTAATTCTTTAAATATAATTTATTAATACTCCAAAAACCTTAAGCTGACCATTTCGCCTACATATTAGAGAAACAAAGATTAGATAACCCAGTATGTGAATAAATATAGTATAAAAATACTACACAAGTTTCAGGGTAACATACCTTTATCCTCTTAGAGTGAGGCTCGGTCCAGGCAAACCCTGCATCAATGAGTTTAACTCGATTAAGACCCTTGAGCCTTTTCAAACAGAGGGCTAAGAGCTCTCGAGACTCCAAAGCACACACAAGCCATTCTGCTGGGGGTTGCAAATATCTGTGAAAAATTGATTCATATTTATGTAGGTCTACAATGAAACTTCACAGCCTTACTAAGGATCCTATTCCAGAACTCTACTCAATACGCAAGTCAGGACTTAAGTATGATTTAAAGCACTAGAAATCATACTCAAGTCCTTGCCATTGGAGTCGTATTTGCAGTGCTTGAAATCATACTCAAGTCCTGACTTGAGCATTGAATAGAGTTCTGGAATATGACCCTAAGGACGTAAACATGACAAGAATAGCTAAAAGATGTCAAGGTCACAAAAAATAGAGAATGCATAGCACAATAACCAAACACAAGAGTCGACTTAATGAAACAAATAATCCACAGCATTCAGTTGTCAGATTGTAGCTACTCCGTGAAAAATATTCAGTAAGTATTCTTTCAGTATTTGAAGCATGAGATAAAACAAAATAAAAACTGGGATATGAAACAGTCACCCAATGTTTTCATTATTTTCTAATAATAATGATGTACAGATGTATATACAACAAGATTGTTATTACTCTAAGAGTAATGATTTGGCTACACTGTTAAGCTTCAACCTGAATTTGTGCAAGTTACTTGCTACAGGAACCATTTTTCCTTACACAGCAAACATACGAAAGTGTACTTGGCTTATGGGGAAGCATGACTATGGAAATGGATTTTTGAACATTGTATGTTTGTTTGTAATTTAAATACTCCTTTACTGTTAAGGCTGCACAGTTATGGAATGAACTCCCGTCTGAAATCCGTCATTCTAAATCTCTTCCTATATTTAAAACTGCATTGTGTAAGCATCTTCTGGAGCGATCTTAGTCTGCAACTAGTCTGTATATTTAGTAGTAAGTAGAAGTTTATTTCAGGGTCGTATTCCAGAATTCTACTCAATGCTCAAGTCAGGATCTGAGAGTCGTATTTTAGAACTCTACTCAATTTTCAAGTCAGGACTTGAGTATTGCAGTGAGCACTGAAAATCATACTCGAGTCCTTGCCATCCATCCACGACCCTAAGGGTCATATTCCAGAACTCTACTCAAGTCAGGACTTGAGCAGACTTGAGTATGATTTCAAGCACTGGAAATACGACCCTAATGGCAAGGACTCGAGTATGATTTTCAGTGCTCACTGCAATACTCAAGTCCTGACTTGAGTATTGAGTAGAGTTCTGGAATACGAACCTTAGTGTTGAGACACCTTTTTGCTGACACACCTTCTATGTAGGTTGTCTGTGATTATTTTCAATTTAAATTTTTATTATTGTATTCTGTACTCTTGCACTATGTTTCTATTACTTAATTATTATTGCTCATACACACATCAAAAAAAGTTTGCGATCAACAGCATAAGCTCCTATAATTCTTTAAATTTAACTTTATCAAGAAAAAATCTATGTTGTATGCTTTCTTTGAATAGGAATACCCTGTTTGAAATTAAAATATAAAACTATTTTTTATTATTTATTTTAAAAAATTGAGCCATTAATCATAATGTAATAGTGATAGAAATTTCATAAAAAGAAAAAGACTGTTTAATTAAACTTAAACAACAATTTATTATTAAAAGGTGTGAATTCAATATAAAATAACTCCTCCCCTGGCTCGAATACATGCGAAGATCCTCCTGGGCATGCTGAGGATCAAGTTATCCAGCATTTCCTGGGGTAACCTATCCCATTCTTCAATAGCGGCTTCCCTGAGCTCTGGAACTGTCTGGGGACGTGGCTCACGGTTCCATACTGCTCGTTTAAGAGCATCCCTCGCGTGCTCTATTGGGTTTAAGTCGGGCGAGCCGGCAGGCCAGTCTAATCGTGTGATATCGTATTCTTGAAGAGCAGCATTGACTCGTTGAGCTCGATGTGCGGGCGCATTATCATCGACCAGTACAAATTGGTGCCCATGGTTTACTCGGAATGGTCTGACGATATCATCAATAGCAACTGCTTTGTACATGTCCTCTGTCATGAAGCCCCGATACGGGATCAAAGGCGTTCTAGCTCCAATCATAATGCCACCCCAAAAGGACACCGATTTTCCGCCTTGCTGAACTGTTCCAGTGGCAGTTCTTTGTCTTTCACGGTCGCCTGGTCTTCTCCAGACACGGACACGTCGGTTATCTGGATGAGTGCTGATTCGGGATTCGTCAACGAAGAGACAGTTTTGCCAAATGTTTTCGTCTTCACCTTCTTCATTTTGTCGAAGTCTAGCCCACTGCAGTCTTCGTTGTTGACGTTGCCGGGAATTGAGCGGAGCTCGCCAAGACCTCCGTGCTCGTAATCCAGCCTGGTGCAAGCAATTGCGAACGGTCTGCGTGCTAACTTCAAGCCCAGAGGCGGCCCTGACTTCTGCTTTTATTTTAGTGGCGTTGATTGTTGGATCACAGGCTGCCAGCAATCTAATATAGCGCTTTTGGGCAGCTGTCAAAACAGTTGGGTGACCGCTGCGGGGTCGGTCAGCTAAATTCCCCATTCCGTGATACCTCTGCAACGTAGCCACGACACAGGATTGGGATATAGCAAGTCTGCGTGCTATTACTCTCGTGGTGTATCCTTCTTCCCTCAAAGTTACTATTCTAGCTCGTAAAACCTCTGATAATCCTCTTGGCATTTTTTCAAACACAACTTTCCGCGAAAAATATCTTGAATCGCTTATAATTGACTAAATCAGATTTCTGAATGAGCGTAAGCTAGGACTGAAAGCCTTTTTATATGAAAAAACAATTGAACGGGGTCATTGTTTTATGTTCTAATTTATTTTTAAATAAAGAATCTAAAAAGAAGAAAAAATCATAATATAATCTACAGTAACAAAAAAGATTTCAGTTTTTCGAAGTGATCGCAAACTTTTTTTGATGTGTGTATAAGGGGTGGTGCTGGAAAACCTCTTTGTAACCTTCTATGTAAGTTGTCTGTGACTGCTTTGAAGTGGATTTAAGTTTTTTGTGTTCTTTGTCAAAACGACTTACAGAACTATATACATTGATTTCTTCATAATGACAACTTGACCTGTTTTCATTTATGTCGATTTTGTGAGATAAAAAAGACTCTAGTCTGTCTGATGGTACTAACCTCTCACATCCTCTGCAGAAAAAAAGAGTGGCTTGCTTAGGTATGCCCTCAGTAATGTCCACATGGGCTCTAAGACACGCCACACACATATTCGAAGGATTCGCTTCGATCGGCACAGCGCACTGACAGCATAATCTGAAAATCATCATTTTTACACCATGAGCACATTGATAAACATATAACTTTAGTTATTTAATCTATTCAACAGCCTCTTTGGCTGAATGGTTACCATGCTGGCCTGACGTAAGAGGTCCCGGGTTCGATTTCCGTGCAGGGAGAAATATTTGTATGGCCTACATTTATTTCTCTCGTGATTTGGGTGTAATTTTGTGGTTGTCTATGTGTATGTCCGTAGCACCGATACAAGGTTTCCCTAGTACGGGGCTATGAGCCTGAGTGGGCCATTAATTGTTAGTATTATTGGAATGAGAAAACCGTACTAAACATTTTAGAAAAACGTTTACTACACTAAACATCAACAAAAATAAAAATACTTTGCATATAAGAAGAACAAGAACGTGTACATCATTCGCGTTCACAAGTATTAGATTTATGAAACTTACATTCGTGTGCTGTTTGATGGTGTAATATTTTCAGGAGATATGTACTCCATTTCTTAGCTGTTAATTGCGAGAAACTGTTTACAGAGCAAATTTTTATAAAAAATAAAAATTAAAGGATGGACACCAAAATCAAACACGTGTTCACAGTTTCCTTACAAAACTATGTATGTAGTGAAAGAAAAAGAGATATAAATATAATATAATTAATGTATGATGTGCTCTCTTTCTACAAATTGACATAACGCACGAACGAATCAAGTTTTCCTTCGTTGTGACGTGCAAAACAAGTGGCGGGTTTTAGTGCGACAATAAACGTCCGTTTTTTCCATCCGATAGTATCCGACTACCGGAAGGCGCTCATATAATGAACACTATTAATTAAGTAAGGTTTAAACTTAATTCAACTTGAATTTTTAAAATGAAATGAATAAATATTATTACATGTGGGAAATATGACCTTTGCTCTCCCCAAATTTATAACCTTGATTGTTTGGGAATTTTGAATAATTTGCATTGGCAACGCTGCAAATCGGAGGGAAGAATCGGACGTGTATTTCGTCTCCCCACAAAAGTATAGAGAGCGCGCCTTCAGACAATCGGATAGGTAATAAAATCGGACGCTATTTCCGACTCGAACGCCACGTCACGTCATCCGATAATCGGATCGGACGTGTATTGAGTGTTCATACAATTATATTGTACGAGCGCCTTCCGGTAGTCGGATCAGACTATTGGATCCGACTATCGGATGGAAAAATCGGACGTGTATTCCCGCACTTAATAGTTACATTTTTGACACGAGTTAATTTCTACTTCATGTATGTATATTATGTAACGTCACCTTAAATGCCAACCGTGTCCATTTCGCAGTACATGAGGTACATGATACCGTTGTCAAAGGGAAGTACATCAAATGTCAAAATAAATGTTTTTCCAAATGTATTATTGAATTATTCGCATGTATTATAATTAAATTGGACAAAAATATTGACATTGAGTATAATTAGGTATTAATAAAAATGCGACGCTGCAGCATTAAGGGGTGCGGCTTTAGAAAAAGTGCAAATCAATCGAATGTTACATTGCACAGTCATGTGTTATTTTTTGTCTATAAATCACACAATAGCCCAAGTATTTCATGTAATTAGACTTATTTAAGTAGTTTATTTATAAATCTTGCCAAATATTGCTTTTGTTACTTTAGATTGCCTGCTTGTTTGTATATTTTGATGATTGTTGTTAACGATTATTTTGAGATAGTGTTGATCTTGTAAGCATAAATATTATCGATATTCCGTTATTAAAACCATTCACTCCGAGGTTTTTATTGTTTTATTATTATAAATAATAATAATAAAACTATTATTATTTCAAGTTTTCCTACAAATGAAAAAAGGAGGAAAGAATGGTTGGAAATCATAGGACTGCCGAATATAAATGTTGGATCAAAGACCATCTTCATTTGTTCGCTTCATTTTGAAGAATCAAATTTTAACAGAACTTTGAATATAACTAGATTACATGACAACACTATTTCATCATTAGGTTTATTGGTAAATAATTTCATGTTCAATTTAGATTAAACAAGACTCATTACTAGTTATTCTCAGTTCCTGAAAACAAATTTATCCACTCGTTTCTGATTTTTCCCAATGATTTATTTATTTATTTGCAAATATGATATGCAAATATGTACTAAAATGTAGGTTAAAGGCGTACCTCTTAAAGTAATTTTTATATTTTATTTAGTAAGTACAATTAATAGTATTTAATGTTATATACCAGTAAAGTAGGTATAATTAAGTAAGAATGCGCATGTCGCCAACAAACTACACAGCAGTTTGGTGACTTTTACTAAATAAGTTACCAGTTGTAATCTTGAAAATATTTTTTTTTTTAAAGTTTAAAAATGTGTGTTGACATTTATAATAATATACCATTAGAGATTACATTATTAGACTTGTGTTTGTTTAGGCATGCTTTGGTTACAGTAAACTAAAGAAACAAAAAAAACAGATTCAACATTCAAGACATACATTTGCATGTCGATAATGACTTATCGATAGATTATGGCACAACATTAAAGAAATCCGACATTTGTAACTTTTAAATTTTGGTTATATGCACGTTGATTCTATACTTAGGGCAGCTCCTTTCTTTTATTTTTTTCCATCCTCTAAGATATAAATAATCGTTAGGACGTCAAATGCTAAATGTCAAAATTTTTCATATAAAGTTGCAAGCAGCGTTGCCAAAACCAATTGTTCAAATTCCCCAAAGATCTAATGAAAATGACGGAACTTACGGAGTTGGAGCTAGGCGCTGCGCAGACGGTGCAACTTTGGTCATCGAGTTTCGGCAACTGGCAACCCGCAACTAGCTGTTTATGATGTTTTTCATATAATTTCAAGAAACCGCGCAGACGTAGCAACTTCAGTTGAGAGTTTCAGCAATCGACTACAGTTTTCGATTGCCGAAATCCGTGATTAAATAAATTCTTAATTACCGCTACTAGAAACTTGCAAATTTGTACTGGTTGTCTGCAGTTGCCAGTTTCCGCAACCGGCAACCGTAACTTGTGAAGCAACTTCACTTCCTTTCCGTCCCCCGCAGCGTCAGTCTTGACCGTGGAATTCGAAAGTTTATTTAAAATTGCGGCAATCGGCAACTAGGCTTCTTAGTTGCTACAACCGGCAACCGTTAATGGAAACTTGTAAAAAGTTGCCAGTTGCAGCCAACTGAAGTTGCTCCATCTGCGGAGCGCCCAGGACAATGTCTTTTTTGAAGACAGAGTAAAATGACGTTTGTAGGGCTGCCAGTTTTTACAAAATTTTAAATAGTTACGTGGTTGTTGCCAATAGTTTTGTCGATAGATTATAAATCAATAGACTAAAAAGTCGTTGAAAAAAACCAAATACAAAGACACGACAATAAGCACATAGAAAAATTCGTGAGGTCCACTGGTTCGTTCCGTGGCTTGGTTGGTATAGCGTCTGGTAAAAATAAGATGTTTATTTCTCCAAACAAAAAAAAACAAAAATTTTTTTCTCTCAAAGAATTTAGCTTTTCAACAAATTACATAAGAATAAAAGTTATCAGTTATGTCATTATGTATCATATGAAAAAAACTCGGCTCTGTATTCCTAAAATTGTTCCCATGATTAAATAATATTTAACCTACAATTTATATTTTTTAATTTCAGCATTTTTAATCAGCTTTAAGGAATACAGAGCTGATTTTTTTTTTGATAGTTTTTGCTTGAAAAAAATTATTATATTTTTTTTTTCTCCGACACAATCAACTATTCAAGAAATTATACAAGAATAAACGCCTAGAATAATAACGCATAGAATGATAGTTTCATATCAAACGAACTGTTACAAGTGAGGCAAAAACCAAATTCATGTAGGCGTAAGCAACTTGTACCTACGCTCGTCGGCACGCAATATACAAATAATGATGCCATGGAATAACATTTCCCTCAAAAGTGGGAAAATTGTATCTTGCTTAACTCATCATTAAGTTAAAGGTACCTACAGATTTGCCCGACATTGTCGATCAGGTGCCTACAGATGTGCTCGATTTTGTCACGGGCACGATTTTCCAAAAAAAATGCTATATGGGTATCATTTTCGAGGTATTTGAGGATGCTCAATATCTAAAAAAATATTTATATAAAAATATAAGTTGAAACGCGTTACTTCCTTGTGAAATGTGATGTTAGCGTCTATTTTATGTTTGCCTGTTCTATTTTTACACCCATTTACCGCAAATTTCGTCATTATTAGCAAAAATTTTTTTTGACCTTGAGCATTGACAGCACGCGCGCTCGTGTAGGTCCTTTGGAAGCCTCTAACTTGCCTCACTTAGTGTGTGCGGGCTAGGTTTCTATGCGTTATTATTCTAAGAATAAACGTTGTTAGGAAAGTTACTATCTATCACATAAAAAAAAATTAGCTGATACTCCACAAGTTATTCCTAAGTCCACGAATTATCAATTTGGCCCCATTGTGCGACGTTCACTTTTGCGCAATGAACTGTAATATTACTCCGTCTTCAAAAAAAACAGACTATAGCTGTTTAAAGAATGTAATGGAATGAACCAGAGTGATTAGCTCTATAATTCGATGGATCGGTACACGGCACTTTTTATTACACTCATGTATTTATATTTTGCACGTTATTGATCTTGATTTTAACACGTTTTTATTTATTTATTTAAACCGTCGATGTCACATAATTTTTTCTACACACGAATGGCGGTTCTATTATTTTATTTATTCGAAAGTTTATTTTTATGAATGATAACTTTAAACCATAGTATATTTTAAAAGAGATACCTACAAACACTAAAAAGTAAGTATTGTCTGCACTAATAATAAAGGTTAAAATTCTCAAATTTGGGGTGAGCAAAGTTCTAATTCCCTACAAATTCCCCACATTTCGAAATCTCGTTATTTACTAAAAACCCTTCACTTAAAAATATAACAAAGAATTAAAAGAAAAAAATAATAATTACAAAATTAGGTGACTTTAAATCTTTTATTTATTTTAATGTAATGAGTTTCAGCATTAATCAGTTTGAAGAAACATTTTTTTTCTTAGCCTTACAAAATTAAGCAACTTAATTACTAGTTGTGCATTTAGTGACACTATGCTGAGGTATATATTATTATTAAGGTAAATATTAATGAAGTTTAGACCTAAATTAAATATTTAAAGTTGACGAGTGGCAAATTGTGGCTTGGAAGTACCAACCCCTCGGCTTTGTTTAGGAAAAGATGATTTCGTTTTTCTTATCTCTGATCTTATCGAATAATTCTCTAAGCGGTTTTTTAATAACGCCCTGCTGCAAATTGAAAAATCTCTCGATGTGCTATGATGAAAAAAATATCGATATTGTTCAAACACCGCTTCTACCAGTAACCATCAAACTAAAAATGCATCAGCAACTATAGATTAAACAAAATGATAAAATGTTAATCTTCGCATTTTCCTCACCTAGCTCCAACAGACACAAAATCCACAATCGAGGTCAAATTCCCCGCAATTTGGTAAATTCGCGTAAGTTGGCAACACTCATTGCAAGCGCAGCATGAGACAAAAAATTTTTAGCTTTGGCTATGAGATTATTTAGCTTAAAACTAAATAGCAAAAAAATGGACAATAATAATTGAGTATTCAGATTAATCGTCAGTTATAAGAAATTTAGGCAATTGAACGATTAAAAATTATATTAAAAATATATTACTATATATTAAAAATTTTAAAAAGTAGAATAAATAAAAACAATTCACTCATTAAATCAAAAGCGGAAGACATACCACACTACGGATTTTACGTATGGCAATACAATATAAAATTATTTCTATTTCATTCAAAACTTCATTCAGACTTCCTTATTATTACGTAAAGAATTCGTGATCTTCCGAGCTACTTTGCGTTTTGGTGATATCGATTTTCTGAATACAAAAAATGTTCTCTACCGTCTGCAAAGTTGGCCGTTTGGCCACGAGGACGGTAGTCAACAGCTCTTTGGCTGAGAAGACACCAGTGGTTGCGGGAGCCCTTGTGAACAAACGGGATTATGCAGCGAAGGCGGCAGCAGGCAAGGGGCAAGGTAAAGTTGTTGCGGTCATCGGTGCCGTAGTAGATGTACAGTTCGATGACAACCTGCCTCCTATCCTAAATGCGCTGGAAGTACAGAACCGCCAGCCTCGTCTGGTGTTGGAGGTCGCGCAACACTTAGGAGAGAACACAGTACGCACCATCGCTATGGACGGTACTGAGGGCCTGGTGCGCGGCCAGCCAGTGCTTGATTCCGGTTCGCCAATCCGTATACCCGTGGGCCCTGAGACCCTCGGTCGCATCATCAACGTCATCGGTGAGCCCATCGATGAGCGCGGCCCCATCCCAACTGATAAAACTTCCGCTATTCACGCCGAGGCCCCAGAATTCGTCGACATGAGCGTACAACAGGAAATTTTGGTCACTGGTATCAAGGTCGTAGACCTGCTGGCTCCCTACGCCAAGGGAGGTAAGATTGGTCTTTTCGGCGGCGCTGGCGTCGGGAAGACTGTACTAATTATGGAACTGATCAACAACGTCGCCAAAGCCCATGGTGGCTACTCTGTGTTCGCTGGCGTAGGCGAGCGCACCCGCGAGGGCAATGATTTGTACCACGAAATGATTGAGGGTGGGGTCATCTCTCTCAAGGACAAGACCTCCAAGGTATCACTTGTGTATGGCCAGATGAATGAGCCCCCAGGCGCGCGTGCCCGTGTCGCCTTGACTGGCCTAACTGTAGCTGAGTACTTCCGTGACCAGGAGGGTCAGGATGTGCTACTGTTTATTGACAACATCTTCCGTTTCACCCAGGCTGGCTCTGAGGTATCTGCCTTGTTGGGACGTATCCCATCTGCTGTAGGCTATCAGCCCACTCTGGCCACTGACATGGGTACCATGCAGGAGCGTATCACCACCACTAAAAAGGGCTCCATCACCTCCGTACAGGCTATCTATGTGCCTGCAGATGACTTGACTGACCCTGCTCCTGCTACCACCTTTGCTCACTTGGATGCCACCACAGTATTGTCCCGTGCCATAGCTGAGCTGGGCATCTACCCTGCTGTCGACCCTCTCGACTCCACCTCTCGTATCATGGACCCCAACATCATTGGTGCTGACCACTACAATGTCGCTCGTGATGTGCAAAAGATTCTGCAGGACTACAAGTCACTTCAGGACATCATTGCTATCCTAGGTATGGACGAGTTGTCTGAGGAGGATAAGCTGACAGTTTCCCGCGCGCGTAAGATCCAGCGTTTCCTGTCGCAGCCTTTCCAAGTTGCTGAGGTGTTCACCGGTCACGCTGGCAAGCTGGTACCTCTCGAAGAGACCATTAAAGGCTTCTCCCAAATTCTAACTGGCGAGTATGATCACCTTCCCGAGGTTGCGTTCTATATGGTCGGCCCCATTGAGGAAGTCGTAGCGAAGGCCGAGACTCTAGCCAAGAGCACGTAAATAACATGTGTGATATTGTAGTTATTGCAAAATTTAAGGGATATGCTACCACCTGATAATTCCATAGCTGTCTGGCATGGGCACACACAGTTTTCTCTTTTGTCCTTTTTCATACAACTTCTAATTGATATAGCAGTTAGCTACAGAAAAAGCACACTGGAGATAATATGCCTTGTCCTTTTACTATCTCTGACCAGCAATAGTAGTGATATAAAATGATTGTTATGTATTTATACTAATTAAGATTATGTAACTATTGTTATGTAAGGACGAATTAAAATCCTTTTATTTAAACAGTCTTTTGTTTTCATTTAATTTTTGGTTCATATACATTTTTCTCAAGGGAGGGAGGGAAACCCGGGCGGGATGTTATCATCGGCGGCCTGTTTCTAGAACCATTTTGTAAGATTAGATTAGAAATAAGGCCTCAGACACAAAGCCGCCTGGTCGGCGGGTTCGGTCTGACCCTTGAGACCCTTTATGGTATACCCCCAGAATGGCAATATTGCAAACAAATGGCCTTTTAAACTTTATATATTATAGGCGTCATGTATGAAATATAACAACTAATTAGTAACTACGTATTTATAACAAACTACCAATAACTTAGATTTATTTTCTGTAATTGATATTTTGTCTTCAATGAACCCTTTACGACGTCTCCTATATTAGGTAGTCAAAACAAAAATTATTAAATTTTGTTTTATACAATATGACCTATACCTATAAGTATAATGGTTAAAAATAACTTTTTTAAAGTAATGTGGAAATTGTAATTTTCGTCCTAAAGTAATAGTGTAGTTTTAGCAATCTAGACATTATTTAATGTCACATCATAATCATCACAAGGTTATAACTTAACATAGGCATTGATTTGACACCAGACATAATAACACTGCAGACATCTAGCAAGTTTAGCGTATATAAGTACATAATAATTTTTAGTTAATGTAATTAAAATTTCTTCATCGTAATTTCAATTTTCTTTCTCAGTTACTTATAACATTCAACGAGAGAGAATAAGAGCGCGATGCGGCAAACTACCCTAGGGGAAAGAATCAATTAGTTTCAACGGGAAACTTCCGTTTCTCATCGCCCTACTTACGTTCCGCCGCAATATAAATTGAGCCTTGGATAACAAAAGGTGATAAAGTTAAATTCACTTTCAAGTTACGAAAATTGTTAATTTACAAAGATTTTTTTCTCTACGTCATCGTCATAGTATTCATAACGAGATGTATGTTGAAGTATCTATGTAGCGGTGTAGGTGGATGAAAGACCTAGAGCCCTGAGAGGGCTGGCCGTTCTGCCGCCGCGCGTCGCGCCGTTAGTTGAAAGGGCGCTAGTGACAAAAACTCAAAACCGAGAAAATAATGTGAGAAATAAAATTAAAAAAAATATCTACTTTTCTCTTACGGTAACTTCATACCTTATCCCCCCGGGGAAAAGTAAATTAGTGACAGATCGGCCTTTTTTTCACTTGCGCCCTGTCAAGTAACGGCGGCAGAGTTGGAAGCAGACAGGATCGCACTTGTGTGTGACTGAATAGGGTTGGTCAGCATTTGAAACTCAAATCATCTTTATTTCATAGGTAAGGAAATGAAACTTGAAATCGTCATATTCATTAAAATCTACTGTTGATTAACTGCCTCAGTGGCCGAACGGTTACCATGCCGTGCGACCACGCAGAGGGCTCGGGTTCGTTTCCCGGGCAGGGAGAAATATTTGTATGGCCTGCATTTATTTCTCTCGTTAGGTTGGGTGTAATTTGTGGTTGTCTATAACGCTATGGCACCTGTGATACAGCGTAGGCGTCGTATTCCAGAACTCTACTCATTGCTCAAGTCAGGATTTGAGTATGATTTCAAGCACTGGAAATACTACCCTAAACGCAAGGACTTGAGTCTAATTTCTAGTGCTTTAAATCATACTCAAGTCCTGACTTGAGCATTGAGGTTCGTATTCTAGAACTCTATTCAATGCTCAAGTCAGGATTGCACTGGCAACACAAGCACTGGAAATACGACCCTAATGGCAGGGACTTGAGTATGATTTTCGAGTGCTTTGAATCATACTCAAGTCCTGACTTAAGCATTGAGTAGAGTTCTAGAATACGACCCTGAGTATAGTTCTCGAATACGACCCTGAGTGTGTGCACGTTATTCGTAAGGCAGATTTCCCTGAGAAGAATGCAAGAAACTAGGGGTTGCTCTTTGTAAATATACATTTATCGTTAATACAATATTTATTTTTAAACATGTTGGATCGAGAATACCTGCAAGAGCTAAATGGGTAATTACCACGGATTGTTGTCATCAAAGTAGGCAGAAGCAGTATATTTTTTATAGTATGGTTTTTTATACTATTATTTATTGTCATCTTATGGCCGACAATGAGTCGAAATTGCAGGAATATTATTAGTATTGCACTTTTTTGTACTATGATTGTAAACGCGGTTACTGCGATTATAACGTGTTTTTGAGTTAAGCTAGCTATCTTCTAGAAGTAGTCTCCTTAATTACCTTCAAGGGAAGTACATGCTGTAGAGCACTGTGTATCACAGCTGCAGTTCAAATGTTTCGTGTATTGGTATGCTTTTAAAAATCATGTATTTTCAGTAGATAAATCTAAAATGTGTTTTGCACTGTTTTCAATGCGAGCCACATCGCTGTTCTTTTATCTAAATTAACCTTATAATAAAGCTTACCTATAGCAGAGAAGGAAAAATAATAACATGTGATGCGGTTTTTTAGTCAGATTTTATTACTAAAGTTCTTATCGCTTTCCTCCTACACGCGGCGCAGATTTCTGACTGACTTTCGCAGCCTTAGCCTTAGGCGCTGCTTTCGCTTTAGGTGGAGGTGCAGTCGACTTCTTTGCAGCCTTGGTTGACTTTTTCTGTTCCTTGGCAGCTCTGAAAATTTCCGAAAATTATCAATAAAGCAAAGTATGTAATTACACACCTGTTAATTCAGTAAACAAATAACAATCAAGAATAATTCTGACTCAAACATTAATGGAGGTTAAGGTCCCAGAAAGTCATTATAATCATTATTTATATTGAAATTTGTCATTATTTAGCACAAAATAAATATTACTTTATTCCAATAAAAAAATAAGCAGTCTAACCAATTGACAATTAATTACTGTCACTTAGAAAATAATGTAACTGCCTCCGTGGCCGAACGGTTACCATGCCGGACTGCCACGCAGTGGTCCCAGGTTCGATTCCCGGGCCGGGAGAAATATTTGTATGGCCTACATTTATTTCTCTCGTGAGTTTGGGTGTAATTTGTGGTTGTTTATGTGTGTGTCCATGGCACCCGCGATACAGGGTTTCCCTAGTGCGGGGCTATGTTGATTGTGAGCGTTAATGTTGCCATGTTAACAGTATAGTGTTGTGTTGCGTTCAATTCTCAATAAATACAGAAAAACACGATCAGTCAGAGTTTTATTTCATCAAAAACTAACATCTCATAGATACATCAGTACATCAGTTAATTATTTTCAAAATTATGGGGTCCCTGGCAGATCCTATACCATCTTGATGCTTATCAAGAACCTGACTCATATTGGAAATGTTATACCAGTTGTCTCAATTATAAGAATTTTTCGCAATTTTGTTTGAATGAACCTACTTTACTATTAATGCAAATACTCACTTGATAGCCTGTTCTCTCTGGGCTTTGCGTACTTCAGGCTTCATGTTTCTCTTGGCCATGATGTCGTTGAGGGAGGCACCAACAATAGCACGCTGGAATTTCTGAGTCCTCCTGGTACGTTTCTTGGCCTGCTCTTCTTCCTGGCCCTTCTTGAACTTGCGCCTGAAATTCAATGGTTTCACAAATTTGTACAAACGGGCTTATTTCTACCACTTCACTTATAACTTTAGCATATTTGTTTGTGGACTAGTTGATATACTATCATATAAATAGTCTACATTTATGTGACCTCAGTAGGGCTAGCACGACATGGCGCGACTTGAGCGAGAGCAACAAAAACCCAGGATACTGCTATTCTCACATAGAGATCTCGCGCTTTATGTTGCTGTCATGCAAGTCGTTCTCTGCCATGCTAGCCCTACAGGATGGTGTATGCACTTAGTCAGATTTTCCAAAAGAGCACGAAACGGAGAGCATGGGGGCTGCTTCTGCGTAGAAGCAGGACAGTTAAAGCCAAACAACATTACTGTCATTCAGCTGTTAAGTATTTAAATAGTTAAAAACAAATTATATAATTATGTCAAATATAAACTGAATTCTTATCATTAAGTGACTTTATAATGATAAAGATTTAAGAAAATAATATTATATTCAAGAACTTCACTAATGTGTTACAAGTCTGTTTATAAATTTAAGAATATATGAAATAAAATAGCAAACTAAGTACAAATGTTATCATCTTACATTAAGAAATGTAGGTACCAAATTGAACAGACATGAATATAAAACCTTATATTGTCCAAGTAAATATCCTATAAACATTAATTTTACATACCTGTACAGCACAGTCCATGTCACTTTACGAGGGTTCCTCCTCATAAGATGGGCGGCCTCACATTTTGAGTTCAAGAATGTGAAGGTCTGAAAATAACACAAATTTGTCATAAAAATTACATACACTACAATATCTCTAATTAATAGCACTAATACTATTTCATATTAAGGGCGGTGAAGACCTCAATTTAGGATAGGAGGTTGATCTATGTAAAATTACAAGAGATGAAATAATTGTATTTATTCCGTGAATTTAATTATAAACCCTACAATACAAAAGTGGTTCGGTTCAAATTACATATTAGTTGAGTTAGGTACTTCATTAACAAGGGAATAAGTTCAAAAAGTTGTTGTTTACGTGATTTATAGGTTATGTTTGTAATAGGTTAATTCAAATGTAAAATAGTATTTTTAAGTGAACAATTTAACTAAGACTTACACGTAACTGTCTACATTACTTAAATAAGTACATAAAAATGTAACAATACCTTCCCATCCACCTTAACCATGGTTTTTCCATGGCCAGGGTAGATCTTGTATCCACTATAGGCGCACAGACCGATCCTGAAAATAAATCATATATGATGTAAATATTGCACTCCACATATGAAAAACTCAATAATTGTAACGTAATGGCACTAGATCACACAGATTATTAAAGCTAAATTATAAAAATTCATAGAACATACTTCATTTTGACTTGTCGAAAACGAAAAGAAAGACAGAGATAGAAACGAGTGGAGAATGGTGTTACTATAATCGGACAAGAATCTGTCAAACTATCAGACTGTCTGATTTATATTCTGTCTGTTACTACTTGTGCATTCGTTCCCATCCCTACTTTATTTTAATTTCCAGTAATCAGAACTAATATATCTGTAATATGTTACTGAGTTTCACCGAAAAATTATTAAAAGTCTATAGTTAAAAGTAAGAAAAAAAATATTTTGCTAAATTTTTCTCGAAATGGCAATTAAGTACACAACTCTCAAAACTTTAGACATTTTTGCTCATTCTATCATTCATTCAATGTTATTTTATTATCTGTGGAAAGGGGCATTCGAACTATTTTATAACCTAAAAACTGGGCTAATTTAATATGAAATTGCACTTTACGGAAGATTACTGATACTAAATTTTATTTATAAGTAAACAGCAAAGAAAGACGATGGCTTCATTCTTATGTCCAGACTTCCTCGAATTTCAGGTTTGTTCATAGTTGTCTTCCAAAGATTGGCGGCTTTTGCTTAGGTTACCCACTTTCTTATTAGATCCTATATAATTTATAGGAAACGATGGAAATTTTATCAACGTTTGAATGATAATGATTATTGGCTGTCATAAATTTTCTTACATTCCAAGTGCTAAGGTTCTGTCACATTATCGCGCCCTTTCATTATTTATGTAACTGTATGATTTATTTTTATTTTTTTAGGATGTTTTGAAGAAGATGCGAATATTGGATGATAAAATTGTCTATGCGCTAAACACTTCGATCCCTACAGAATCATTTCAAACCAAAATTAATGCCACGGAAGCTTGTCAAGATTTATATTCGCAAATTCAAAAGGGTCACGCTGATAGGGAGAATGTGATCAAACACTGCATAACAGTTACTGCTGAAGCTGTTAAAAATTTGAAAGCAGCTAAGGCGCAAAACTCAGATGATTTTGAAGTCTTAAAAAACTTGAAATCTGAACAAAGAAAGGTAATCTATGATAGCAGAGCCTATTATGGGTGCGAGGTCAGTGGTGGTGACAACCTCTGAGCAAATTAGTCTTGTGCCCTGTAGTCATGACTCGTCAAGTGGCCCCAGACAGATAAACATGGAGGATCCAGTTTATTTATGTACTCTGGGACTCTGTAAGATTACAATTGGAGTGAGGATTGCTAGGGGCTCATAGAACCTTAGTGCATAGTAATTAATTACTGGTAATTAATTATTACCATTTGTTTTACAGTTACGTCTTCTACAAACTGAACTGAGTGTGGAAGAAGTTATAAGGGAAAAAACAACAAAATTATTCACAGAGAAATGTAGAAGTTATTATAAACCACACATTTTATGAAGACTGAGGAAAAAGCATTTACTTGTTGGTTTATGAGTAGTGTACATAATATAAATAGTTGTTGGTATATGGGCCTTTTACAATAGCAATTGATGTTGAAACCTATATTTTTCTTAGAATTGTAATAACTAGTAAAAAAGTTGAAGGTGAAAAGAAACTTATTTTGCTATACAGTTGTGCAAATTAAAGGAGAGATAAAAGTAATTTTTTTTTAAGAAAAAAAAAATCTACTCTAATTCTATTTGTGATATGGAAAACTAGAAAGTTTTAGCTTTTAATTTTCTTTTCTTAAAAAATATTACTTTAAATAGCTCTGCTGTATTATTTTCCAAATACACGTTAGACGGTTTACCTTTCCAGCATCATTGAGAGTAAGTTAGGAATACTTTATGTACATACACAAATATATGAAGACAACGACTAAGCAATTATTATTCTAAGGAAAAACAAATTAAACTTATGAGAATCTCTTAATCGGGAATGCACAACAAATATGCTTATGTTATAAATGTATAGAAGAACATGTCACTCCACTGTCAAGTTAATTACAAACTTGAAATGGCTAGCCCTTGCATGCAGCTTGGGTTTACATTTAGTAAGACAAATTTTATTACTACCAGTGTTTATTTACATTGTGGTTACACCAGTATAATTATAAACATACAGAATAGCAAACAGTTTTCTATTGCCTTATATAATTTTATGCATAATTTATTTGGCCACTGGCTGTATGCCATGTTGCTTTTCATAGTTCTCTTGGTATTTCTGGTGCCAGTCCTTGTTCATTTGGTGGACTGATTCTCCTCTCTTGGCTGCAGCTTTACCAGAAAGTATGGCTCCCAAACTAGCTAGAGCGGTCAATAGCATTAATACATTTGCAATTTTGATTCTCGCTTGACTTTGAGACTTCTGAATCAAATCTGGTCTGGAAAAGAATAAACAAATTCAAATAAATAGAAAAAAATGATGTAACTTAAACAATAGGGTTTTAGATTATAATAGGCATTATAAGCTTCTCATTGGAATTGACAATAAAAACCAAGATTGACCATTCCAATCTAAAAAAATAGTTGTCAGTTTTATAGTGTTTATACATGACCTTTACTTCGCTTTTTGAAGGTTGACCATTTGAAGGCGGAGTTCAGTACTCTGGGAGATAGCAAATGAAATTTATGTGTAATTGTCACAAAATTAATGTAATCAATTGTACAATATACTTACGACACGAAGTTTGGAATCTCTTCCTTGCTCTTGTACTTCTTTGTCCATACTAGGATAAATTTCTGCAATTCTGAAGGCCTGTATTGAGGGGAGATGTTGTGGTTGATTGTTTCCGTTCCTGGAGCGGCGCTTGCGCTGCCTGTTGCTGCCGTAGGAGGCTGCCCTCGAGCAGGCTGACTACACATATTCTTTCTTACTGTATGAGTACATGACCTTATCCACAGTATCCTGTACATGATAGTACTATAGTGGTACACTCTAGCGCGGTATCTACACCAAAGATCCAATCTCTTGCTTTAGTTAAATAACTTCAACTTTTGTACTTATGGCTCCGTCGTATTGAATAACATTTAAAAATTGTGACATTTGACAATTTAATTTTTGTACTGTTTTTTCCATTAGAAAAGGCAAAGGCACTTATGCGCCATACAGCCAAGACTGGGAGTAATTTCTTTGATGCGCAGTTGCGTAGTTACACCATACTAATCTATCTCTCAAGTCAGGACTTGAGTATTGCAGTGAGCACTGAAAATCATACTCAAGTCCTTGCCATTAGGGTCGTATTTCCAGTGCTTGAAATCATACACAAGTTTGCTCAAATCCTGACTTGAGCATTGAGTAGAGTTCTAGAATATGACTCTAGAGTTACACCTATAGTTTGTTCTATAGATTTAGTTGAATCTATGGTCTGTTCCAATCCATTTTGAACAAAAAGTAAACAAACCTGTTTGGTTAATATTCTAAAGCAATCACTCAATAAATCGAATAAGTAACACTTTCACGCATATTTCGCCTTGATATATCAGCCCTTTTTTCAACAATATCATTTGAATAGCTTCGTAAAATCATATTTGAAAAATGGTAGTCCAAAAGTGAGATTATTATTCATCTATACTTCTATGACTTGCCTATTATGGTTGCATAATGCTGTTCGAAAAAAAAACATTCGGTTCAATCAATTAAAAATTAGTAAGCGATTATTAAATCGAACATTTCAATCGCAATCGAACGAGTATCTAAGTGTAAGAATTTGAAGGAAGATTTAAATTGAAATTTTAAATATTCTTATATAGGTTATATAAGGAAAACCGTTAGAATTGAATTGAATAAATCGATTCATTCAGTTAATTAATCGATTTGTAGTTGGCGTTACAATGGGTCACCACTAAGCCGTCTATGGTCGGGTCAGTGACTTCTATGTTTACTTTTTGTTCAAAATGGATTGAAACGAAGTATACACTAGTGATGGGCGAGTCGAACTATTTAATCGATTAACTTGAGTTACTCCCACACAACAAGTAAACACGTGCCACTTTTTTATGAACTCGAGCTAGCTCGTTTCGGTATGTACCCCCGCCCCGGCGCCAAGCCAAATACTTCATTCATATAGCGCATTTTTCATGATACTGCAGCAAATCAATAACACTGCCACAATAAGAAATGTCCAAAACGTCTGTGCCATAGCGACATCATTTGTTCCAGAATATGCACTCTTTTTGTAAAATAAATTAAATGATATATAGGTTATCAAATCGTTGACCTTCTATATATTTTATATTCAACAGTTCTCACTCCGTCTTAAACTAAACTAAACGTAAACTTTCACAACCATTGACTTACAATTATATAACGTCGACGTCGGGTCTGCGCTAAAACGTGTCCGAACTTATAGGGCGTTAAAATGGTATACAGAGCGTCATTCACGCTTTAGTCTTCGTTTGTTCGACTGACAGCGAAGCAAGCAAAATTAGACAGTACTGCGATGACTTTACAATTTAAATTCAACGTTTTAGCTTTTTCATATTCCTTTACATGTCACTACGTTTAAATACGTTGACTAGGGACATTTTTTTCGTGGTTTTTGTATTAGACCTGTCGTCCATTTATTTGTAAGTCAATGTTCACAAAAGCGAAAAAAGCTTATCTACTGGCCCCATCGTCTTCGTTAAGTAATTACAACTTTTGACAGGTGTCAAGTGATGTTGACAATGAGGAAAATTAAAGGAAAATGACGGAAAAATATCCGGAAAATTATGATTTTATCGAAATGGAAATTTTTCTATGACCCAAAACTGAATATAATATTTTGCATTAATATACATATATATACATATACAGGATGAATTTTTAGTCATCGTCCAAACTTTCATATTATGATCTTTAGTAAAAATATAACATGCGCAAATTTTCCTTTTAGTGTAAATCAATACTAAAATTAAGATATGCCATCGCAAAATTGTTTTAAAAAATTGCGCGCGTGTGGACAGCCTACTCGATATGCGCGCTAGGCCACCCCCCGCGTCATTTATAAAAGACATAAGTTGCAAATTTTCCCTTCATACTTTCACGGGCTTAGGACCGTCAAGTTACAAAAGGCTTTTGTGATGTTATTTTAGAATGTAGACAATTAATTCGAATTCAAGTCAAGATTTTGTTACATTAACGCACGAAAACGAGAGCGGAAGTTATTTATAAGTAAATTGTTTTAGAGGTTTGACAAAATTTAATGATATTATTACAAAATAATGATAAAAATAATGCACCAGATAAACACACCTAATTAGGAAAGTTCGTTTCCCGAACTTAACTTCTACGCATTTAAAGCGTTGTGTTACCGAAGGCCATCGAAGAATTTACTTATTGAATTTTAAAGTCACTAAAAATTTTACCATGTGTAGAGAACAAAAGAAAATAATCTTTACTTTTGTTTGTGAGACATACAAATAAAAGGTTCGTTTCCTACGATGAATTGTAACGAATTAGTATTTAGCAAGTAATAAAAAAAAGAATCTTCCAATCGCCCTTTTGTTATCTACGCACGTGGTGTTTTTTTATTAGTGAACTAGAAACATTTTATAATAATATCAATAAATTTAAACAAAACATCGATTTACGACAAATGTAGTCCGCACTCGTATCGTACACAGAAGTATAAAAATAAAAGCAGGCCATGCCTTTTGCAATAAGGCGTATTTAAAAAATTTGAATCAACTTATGTACATTTAATTAAAATCAAATAAAAATTACCTTAGCGTAACAACTTTAATAGTATTTTAATAATTGTTCAAAATGTAAACCATTCCTCTCCAAGCAGATTCTTGCACGTTTTTGAATATTGTCTTGTATTTTGTTCAGCACTGTAGTGTCACTTTTCACTTGTGCAAATGCACTTTCAATTTTTAGTTTCAATTCGTCGAGGCTTTGGGCCTCCTCCACATACACGCGGCGTTTAATTTCGCCCCACAAAAAAAAGTCACAGGGTGTGAGGTCTGGTGACCTGGGTGGCCATGGAATGGGACCCCCGCGGCCGATCCAGCGATTCCCGTATTCCATATTTAAATGATTCCTCACGTCGATAGCGTAATGTGGCGGTGCAACGTCATGCTGATAATAAAAAGCAGGATGGTTAATGAGGGCTAGCGGTACGTCGTCCATAAAATCAGAGGCTATGCTTTGTAGCATATTGAGATAGGTGCCTCCGGTCAGCCGCCCCTCAATAAAATACGGCCCTAGAATTTTATCACCGACAATCCCGGCCCAAACATTTGCACTAAAACGCACTTGGTGATAATTGTCTTTTATCATGTGCGGGTTGCGATACGACCACCAATGTTCATTATGTTGGTTGTACAGCCCCACACGTGTGAATAGGGCTTCAACAGTCCATAAAATGACCGCATCGGGGTGTGTGATCAGCCACTCGCAGAAAACTCGACGAGGCAGCGCGTCTGCTTCATTTAGCGTTTGCACTTTTTGAAAGTGATAAGGGTGCAATCCAGAGGTGTTGAGCAGCTTCCACACAGCGTATTGGCTAACGTTGAATCGTTGAGCTGCATCACGTGTACTTCGTTTTGGATCTCTCTCGAAAAAATCGAAGATTTCGTCTTCGATTTCCACGGACAGTCGCGGCCTACCACGTCCTTGGGCGTGTGAAGGCGTCGTAAACTGGCCATGGTCTAAAAGCCTCTGTATGACATGCAGAAACGTTTGGCGGTTGGGGACTGTAGGACTTGCTATTCCATAATTGCGAAGGCGAGGAATGCTCTCTGACTCGTATAGTCTCTGGGCTCCGTTTAGGCTTTCATCACTTATAAAATAGCACTTCACCATTTCAAAGTCCTCGCGGTTTGTATACATAGTGACACGTGAATGCGTTTTCAATAGCGAGATAGCGTTGCACACACGTACGAAGCGCTACACGGACGTGTGACGGACGACTGAAGTGACAGCCGCCAATAGCGTTCGGCGCGGGCGGCATTTTGCTTTGGCGGCGTATGATTCGAGAATCCGCGCGGTTAGCGTATGGCATTCATTCATTGATGCTACTAGCGTCGTAGTAAATAATAATAGCGTAAATTGGTAACCAATTTTTGTCGAGTATTACTTCGGAATAAATATTTTCATTTTGAAAATAGACCTATCAATTTTTTTTCGAAAATGGAGTCTGAATGATACCTAGCGGCTGGAAAAAATTTGGACGATGACTAAAAAATCCTCCTGTATATATAACTCGACTCGCATTTTTGGTACAGGGTCAAGAGCTCGTCAAGCTTGACACTTAAGACTTAAATCCGAGTGTATGCCGCTTACGATAAGAACGGTCCAAAGTGTCAAGCTTGACGTTCTCTTGACGTTCTTTTATTTTCTTTCCTAAGTCTGACCGTACTAGACTTGTCCCTGTTCGGTCCTTAGCGGGAGCTAACTTCGGACAATTGAACTAGGTCGGTCTTCTAGTTCATCACTAGATGAACTAAGGAACTATTCTTAGTTAGTTAGTTATTCTTGTCCTTGCTCGGACATTGAACGAACGCTCCAAACTTGTAATTCTGCAAGCTGCGGGTCATGGCCTTTTACCTGCTTATACACTTCCGACCCTAGGGGAAAACTGCTTAGATCACGTTCTATTAAAAACCAAATTCTCTACTGTTGCCATGGTGATACAGTCCCATATTACAGATCACTACCCTGTACTATTGTCGACGAAGCTTAGATGCAATCAGTCAAATGGTTCTCATACACGTATTAAAATAGATCACAAAGCTGTTGTCCAGGATATCATTGAGTCGGATCTTTCAGCAGTCTTGTGCTCTAGGAACGTGAATGCTGCGGCAAACCTATTAGTGTCACATGTATCGGGCATCGTTAAGAAGCACACAAAAGTATTCACTATCTCGGGACAGAGATTCTAAGCACAGAAAAGTTAAAAGAGATCCTGATAAACTACTAAAAAACTTTAAAACGATCTTACTTCAAATCACTTCTACTGAATGCAAAAAACAATGCTTGGTCGACTTGGGATGCAATCAAAACCATTACAAATATACAATCTGCAAAGAATCCTTCTGATTCTCTACTTAAATTACATTCCGAACCGGTAACCTCTGTGAACATAGTTAACAAGTGCTTTGCCAAAATAGGAATTGATTTAGCTAATAAAATTAAACGATCATTATCTGAAGTTTACCTGTCTCGTTTAGCTCAGTCCTCATCTCCAGAATCTTTCGCTGTATTAGATGTGGACTGTGGGGAAGTCGAGGGATTAATTTTAAGTTTACGTAATAACTGTGCTGTTGGTTGGGACGGTATTTCCTCGTCTATTTTGAAGTCTGCGCGCCATGTTTTGGTTCCAGTACTGGCCCATATCTGTAACTTGTCCCTTTCTACCGGAGACTTCGCTAACATATTTAAAAAGGCCCTAGTACACCCCATTCACAAATCAGGAGACAATGATGTCGTAGATAATTATAGACCGATCTCCATTCTCCCGGCTATGTCGAAGATACTAGAAAGGGTACTAAACAACCGATTAATTAGTTACCTGGAATCAAAACATTTACTGTCTTATAATCAAAAGCTTTGGGGCAAATCCGCCAATGATGCAGTTTCAGCCGTAATTGACGACGTAATTTACCATCTTGATAAGAAGGAAAAGTGCCTCTGTATATTTCTAGATATTTCCAAAGCTTTCTCGGTCTCAATCCAATCCAAGTTACAATAGTTATTAATTAAACAAAGGTAAAGCTTAAATTGGAATGTTTTCTTTGCAAAATTAAAAATAAGGTATTTATTTAATAACTATAGTGAAAAAATAGGGTGGTTTGCATCAATATTAGACATAACTGGTTGAAGACTGTACCACCTCAGTCAACCGTGACCATGGGACCTGTAAAGGGCCCGAAACGTCGGTTTGTTTGAAAAAAACAAGTTACGCGATTTAAATCCGGAAAAATAGTTTCATTTCCTATACTGTGATTATATATAATTACTGTGACAACTGCGCTCCGATTGGCTAACCCGAGTTCGAAAGAATTGACGGGTGTCTTCAACTGTTTCACTTCAAATTGACCAGCTAACTTGAGCTTTGCTATAATCGACGAAAATGACAATATTACATATTTAATTACCGATGAAATGTGATTCCGTTTGTTTTCTAATTAGATATTTTGCTGTTTTTCATACACTACAGTACGGCATTGTTAGAGATATTATCTATATTACAATAAATACAGAATATTTTTTGGAATATACGGAGACGTACACACGGGTCAGCAGTTGGCCTGTCTATATTTCAGTGCCAGGAATATATGGCCCTTATTTCGTCTCTATTTCTGGTTATATACTCGATGATCAACGCAGAGCTCCTAGTTCGTAGTGAACTAAAAAGAACGTGGTGTGTGGGGCAGTTTGGTACGTATCAAAGTGCCCCCAACAAAGCGGTATTACGCCCCTATTAGTTAATGTACGAAAAATGTGAAACTATTTTAACTAGATATTATTTTTTCAGAATATGGTACGGACATACAAACCAAAAACTGCTAGAAATAAAATAAATGACGATGACGTCAAGTCAGCAATGTCTGAAGTCGCTGCGCAGACTCTTTCCATCCGAAAAGCGGTAAGTAAATACAAAATAAATGTTTCCACTTTACAGCATCGTTTTGAACGATTTAAATCTGCTGGTGCAGAATCGTCGTATTCTTCAAAGTACACAGTTGCGCAAGTGTTCATTACTGAGCAGGAGAAGAAACTCTCAGAATACCTCATCAACTGCAGTAAAATGCATTACGGGCTAACGCTAAAACAAGTCAAGGTACTGGCGTATGAATATGCCGTACGTTTAAAGTGCAAATGTCCCGAATCCTGGACACGTAATGAATGTGCAGGTAGAGACTGGGTGTTAGGATTCAGAAATAGAAATAAAGCCTTAAGCTTGAGAAAACCTGAGAATACAAGCGCAGCACGAAGCTTTGGTTTTAACAAAACTGCCGTTGAAGAGTTTTTCAATAATTATGAATGCGTTTTGACAAAATATAAATTCACGCCATAATAAATTTAGATGAAACTGGTATCACCACAGTTTTGCCAGCACCAAAAGTCCTGGCTGAAAAAACCCAAAGGCAAGTAGGGCAGATAGTATCTGCAGAAAGAGGTGAATTAGTGACATTCTGCGCTATAGTCACTGCAATAGGAACGGCTGTTCCTCCTGTATATGTTTTTCCAAGAGTACATTACAAAGAGCATTTCTTAAATGGTGCCCCAGAAGGAAGTCTTGGTCTAGCGAATAGGAGTGGTTGGATGACTGTGGAGTTACATCTTCAAGTACTGAAGCACATACAGCGTCATACTTCATGCACCGTCGAAAATCGAGTACTAATAATATGTGACAACCACGAATCTCACATATCAATTGAAGCTGTTAATTATTGTCGCAACAACGGCATTATCTACATGTCTTTGCCTCCACACACATCACACAAAATGCAACCATTAGATATCGCTGTTTTCGGGCCATTCAATGCTAAATTAAGAATTGCTTTTAATGATTGGCATATCCGGAACGTAGGCAAGACACTGAATATTTATAATATTGCCGAACTTAGTAAAGCAGCTTTTTTGGAAGCTTTTACCCCCAAAAATATAAACAGTATTTTTCAAAGCCAGGAATATGGCCATTAAACAGACTTGCCTTTGGAGATGATGATTTCGCACCAATAGAGATTTATAGACCTACATCAACTTCTGAAGAACTAGCCGCAGCCACGTCTCAACCCACACAAGACGTCACTTTTATAAATATGAACCACAGCAACGAAATCACTGGAGTTGTAAATCCCGCGTTACCAGTTCAGAATAGTGATCCACTTGACGCCTGTAACCAATTGGCTCAGGCTGTGACCGTAGAGTTACCGTCTGAATCTCCATCTATTGAAGTAGTGCCATCAAGTTCTGCCGCAGTCATGTCTCCTGAAGTTGTCAGGCCGTATCCAAAATTATACAAGCAAATACAGCAAGGCGGTTCATGTACAAAAAAAGGCAGAGAAAAGGGAAAATCTCGTGTGTTTACTGACACACCAGAGAAGGATAGATTACAGAAATTATGAAGAAAAAGACAGAAAACAGCAGGCCAAAGTCATAAAGCAAAAAGCCAAAGACTTAAAAACAGCAAAAAATTTATTGGGCCTGAGAGAAAACCCAAAAATTTCAAAAAGGCGACGCCGAGGCTCTTTATCTGAACTTGACTTGGATTCTAGTCAAACCGAATCAATTAAGTTGAATGATGATGAAGATATGGATGTGGCTTCTGTAGAAGACAAAAGTGATGACGATACAAATTTAAAAACTATTAATCCGGAAAATATTAAAATCAACGACTTCTTACTTGTAAAATTTGAAAAGAAAAAGACTGAAATTTACTACGTAGCTAAAGTGTTATCCAAATATAATTTGACCGAATATCAAGTTTTGTATTTAAGGAAAAAACCCGGTTCTTGGGTGTTTGTGTTCCCTGCAATAGATGATAAAGCTAGTGTAGATTTTAGTGATGTTGTTTTGCACTTACCAAAGCCGACTTTTTCAAAAGGAACACTCCGCACGTCCACGCTTTATAAATTTTCTACTGACTTAAGAGAATATAATGTACAATAACCGTTTTTTTTGTTTTTCTTTTATTAAGTTGCATTTTGTGTTATAAGATTATTTAATTATAGGAAAGAGTGATTATTTATTTTATTAAACAAAAATGTTAAGTGTGTTTATAATCTTAGAAAGAAACGCTTTAATTCTCCTATTAAAACCTAAGTTTTTATGAAGGAATTATAATGATTAATGTTAGATAAAGAAAACTGACCGAAACATACCTGATCTCTTTAAATAAATGAATGTTTAATTATTTGTTCACTTGTTTCATTATAAATCATAATCAAAACTCATAACTTTTACTTGAATCTGTAGTCAACGATCCACGCATCAAAGTGCCCCATGTGATGTACCTATTACTGACTGTATTATGACTAGTGGGGCAGAATTGGACAGTTCACATTTTTTGTTTAAATTAAATTATTTAATTTATTCAATGATTTAAAAAAAATTAAGACTAAATTAGTAATGTTCATTAGATACACCATCAATAAAGCAGAAAAAATATTCTCCAAAAGGTTATACAATAGTCCAAAATTGAAGTTGAAAAAAGGTGTATCAATCTGCCCCGCTTCCCCCTACTGAGTGATATTAAAAGATTTTTACGTGTTTTATTTCATCACCAAAGACAGTAATATTAAAATTTGAATGGTGATTAAAAAGTCATCTGTATATTATTAATTATTAGATATTTATTTATTACAGTTTGTATTGAATTTTTTCTGGTGAATAAAGCTCGATTCCTCTTGCGGCGGAACGGAAAACTGAAGAGAACGCTGCGCGAGAAGGCGCGCGTGATCGCTAGGTTCGCCGAAGGCTCGAGCTTTCACGCGACTGCGCCTTGAGGAGTTGAAGCTGTAGTAGTATTTGTAAAGATAGGAGTCTTTTCTGTCCCACAAAATAAAAATAAGACATGGAGCTCGCCGAACGCGACCACCAAAGCACATACCAAGCAAATACAAATTCAAAAGCGAATACAAACTCGCGTCAGTACTAATCACAGCGTCAATAAAATAAAATTATTATAATGTATTTATACAAACTTCATAGGTTTAATAAATAGTGTCATTGGGAACCAAACAATTTTTGTCTAATCAGAAGATGATCGTCAATGTTATGGAATTGATTACAAATTAAATTTAAAAAAAATTGAATAGTATTTGAGAGTGCAATTGCACTAAAATATCAAAATCAGAAACGAATGCTCATGTATAGACGCGAAACGGTAGTATTATAAAAAACGTGTACAAAATTAAGGTTACCTACTAAGATATCGTGTAACTGTGATTGTAATAAATATTATGAATTACCAGTTTTTCAATTTCAAAATATCTTAATAAAATATTTTTTCTTTTGTGTGATGTAAATCAAATAATAACAATTAAATATTAACTTATAAATTGCATATAATTTGTTTTATATCCTAACACCACTTAAGTACCATATTGCAAAATAATATTTCCAGTTTTGTTAGTTATTATAGAAACAACAGAAAAAAAATTCGGGCGATTTTCACTGCATCTGGCAATCTTAGGGTTGTATTCTAGAACTCTACTCAATGCTCAAGTCAGGATCTGAGTATGATTTCAAGCACTGGAAATACGGCCCTAATGGCAGTGATTTGAGTATGATTTCGAGTGCTTTAAACCATACTCAAATCCTGACTAGAGCATTGAGTAGAGTTCTAGAATACGACCCTTACACGCACACAAATGCGCACGTCCCTACATCACCCGTCCTTGTTGTCACAGACACAATAAATGGAAAGCAGCTTCACATCCACAGACATATATCTAGATACATGTCTGTGTTCACATCGTTTGTTGCGTATGCTCCATCTGCCTATTGTTTTGTAATCCGAGTACAAAATTTACTTCCATTCCATTCTGCTGCAATACCTTCCCTATTGCCTAAATTCGCCGTATTAACTGTACACTGGTACTATAAAGTTTCACTAATAGTCATTCATTATAAAGATATTTTGCTAAATAGTTTACTAACAATATGAAAACATTTCCTACAAAATACACAAACAAAACTCTCCTAATAATCTAGTACAAAATAATTGAAAAAAATACCTATTGTCTAGTATTTGGTGTTAATACTTCACTTTTATTATGGTTGTGATTACTTGCGATCATGTATGTGGTACAAGGTTTATGTTCTATATTTTATACTTGATCTTTACAACATGGTTGGCTTCCTGGGTTAGCTTCATTGAATATGGCTTTGTCATTGTAAGGGACATTATTCAACTTCAGGGTGTCTTCAGTAATTCTGGCCTCTGAAAAAGGGGTTTATGTTACCCAATGTAATTAGCACTTATCAGAATAAAATCTGCTACATATTATGATATACTCATGGAGACTTTATTAATTTACAAACTATTTAGCAAATTGGTATGGAAGAATGAAAATAGAAAAAAATCTATGTAATATAATAATGTACCTACCATATACACCAGGTCTTACTTCACGAGCTTGAATGACTTGTGTCCTTAGTTCTTTTTCTACATCTTCACTAAATTTAATGAGCTAGAAAAGCAATGGGTGATCATTTTATAAAAAAAAGAATGTGTTAGGTATTGTTGCTTTTTGTCCAGGTTTCCCATACATTGTTTGGATTATGTGGACTCGACAAATCTAGTCAATTACAATTCAGAATTGTAAACAACAAAAAACAGTACTTTTGTAAAAATAATATAATAAATAATAGTGAACAATGCCAATATCTGCTTGACAAAATTACATTGATTATCATGAGATATATATGAAAAACTCCAGTTTGGGTATTTTTGATTCAAGATCCAGAATATTTAATTTTAAAAGAGTGTAGTGGTGTGTATGGTGTGACAGGCTGGCGTCCGCAACTTGACGTCAAGGAGCCTATTTTGCATGTAGGAGTGTAGTGACTCATTTAGCACTTGCAGATATTCACCCAGCCATGACAATGTAGTTATATCTACGTAAATTTAAATAATCATCCTTATGCAAAATATGCACCTATAATAGAGGAGTTGTGAAGACAAGCCCATTACACAATATTATACCAAGTTTTAAAATTTATCTTCATTTTCCATTTTCCTGTCCTTTTCATCAAATTCTTAGTGAAGTGAAGAGATTTTACCTTTACTTTTGCTGTTTATAAGTACAATTTTAATATGCATCTGCTACAGGTAGAGTAGGTACTATATTACTTACAGCCTTAATAGCTTCTTCATCAGAGACATGTTTGTTTTTATTATATCCGTCGTTTATTTGACTTCTTGCGGCAGTTAACGCCTTGTCGTCTCCAGCAAATACTTTTATTCTAGTCCTGTGCAAATTTTTAAAGCTTTGTAACACCTGAAACGGTATATGTTGTTAGTTATTATGAACTTTAAGTATTGGATTATTAGTTGAAATAGCTCTTTACTTACAGACTTACGTAAATTACTCATTTTTAGTTTTTAGTAGTGGATTTGAGTTTTGAATGTATTCACAATTCAAAAATACACAACTTTATGATATTGACGATTTTCACAATATGTTTTTTTATATCAGTTTGTGAGTAATTTGATCAAAGATTGTAAAGAATGTAGGAAAAATAACCTATAAAATAAAATATTTAGAATAATTTGACATGTTGTGACGTTCGGATATGCATAGTGAATCAAATGCATGTTGTCTGTAGAGAGAGAGAGATAGTATATAATATCGTCCACAATGGCATAATGAGGAAGAAAGAGATAACATAACACATTTACATTTGACGTTTACCCCTTAAACAGCTGATTGTCAAAATACCTTTATTGGAATAAAATTTAACTACCTACAGGTCATAAAAAAAATTGCGAAATGTGAATGTATAATTTAATTTCATTTCAAAATTATTTTTATACCTATGTTTGCCCATTTATAAATTTATTATAACATAATGTCGTACACTATTTCTATTTTAAAATTTATGTGCTTCATGGTAAGTAAAATTAGTTTTATTTTTTATAAATTGATATTTAAATATTTTATATAATATCATTGAGTATTTTCCTTTCGCACAAATATATTATGTGGTATATAATGCGTGCGTATACCACGCACGCATTATATATGAAATTGTATTGGCTATGATTTTATGTGTATAAATATGAATTTCTCAAAAACCTATCTAACTAAATACCTGATTAGGCAATAAAAAACGTTTTCAGGACCTGTTAGCAGTGGGTCTCATAGTACCCTTGTTACCCGCCCACATACGTCAAATGGGAGCCAGTCACATAGCTGTGGGAGCTCTTGGCTCCATCTATTCTGGATTCCAATTATGCTCTGGACCCGTTGTGGTTAGTATTGATTAGTTTTTGTGAAAACGATATGAAGGTAGGAGTAGCCTTAGGGTCTTTTCAAAGGTAGAGTGAATAGGCATTATAATTTCAGGATACTGTACTTGACTTTTAAATAATACTACATGATAATATTCTAGAACAGTTAAATAATAAAGAGTGCCACCAAAATTAGGTGGAGACCTGAAAATTACCCATTCCTTTAATAAAAAAAGCCTAATGCCTTGTTCAGTATAGGGCGTAGGGACCCTTAGAGCTACTTATTGCTATGTTAATGTTGCTTGCAGCTGGATTAATTTTAAATACTTTTTAACCTACTTCAAAATAGGAGGAGGGTCTCAATTCTACTGTATTTTTTTAAATCTTATTTTTAATAAGGCCTGTAACATTTGGGTATCAATGTCGGCCTTGTGGTGTCAATCCCTGAGGATTATTCTTCTCTATAGTGTCGACACAAGTAGTGAGGAGGTAAGACCTCACATATGAGTACAGAGTTTTAGCCCTCTTTGCCAAGTATTTTTTTTGTATGTATGCGATCAAAAAATATAAAACCATTACAAATGTTTATCAAAAACACTTCCATATTTCTTTATTCTTCTGGCACCACCATAATTAATTAAACACTCCTTTAAAAGTTAATTACATACATTTTTCCATAAAGCATTGCAAGCATTGCATTTTCCCATATTCATGTAGGTATGTATGTACCTTATCCTACTCAATCTTAATCTTATCATCAAAATTATTATGAATGGTTGTGGAGTGCTTGCTGCGCTACTATAAAAAAAAAACTCAATAGCGCTTATTTTACTAATAATTCTGTTCTGGTAAATGCATTACTGTCAAAAATATAGTTTTTCATGATAAACAAGTGTAAATTAGAGAAGTCAAAATCAAAGTCAAACAATAATTTATTCCATAGGTAAAATAAATTTACACTTGAAAACAACATTTAAGCTACTGGTCATTCTCTATGCTGACTTTCCTGAGAAGAACGAGCAAGAAACTAGGGATTGCTCTTTTCAAATAAGCTTAAATGCTATGGAATACACTTTGAATGAAATTTGTGTGGATTCTGGAGCCATGTCGTCATTCCATACATCTTTATCTAACACGAAGGGTCGTATTCTAGAACTCTACTCAATGCTCAAGTCAGGATTTGAGTATGGTTTAAAGCACTCGAAATCATACTCAAGTCCCTGCCATTAGGGTCGTATTTCCAGTGCTTGTGTTTCCAGTGTAATCCTGACTTGAGCATTGAGTAGAGTTCTAGAATACGACACGTAGTCTTCAATTTTGTAATATGACTTTTCAATGAAAATATTTTAATGTTGTTTTTAAACTTAGGAAATGATAATCTTAATATATGCTCCGAAATCTTATTGTAAAAACGTAATATACAGTTCCCCATAAAAGATTCGTTTACCTTGGTTAACCGAAATCGTGGTACCATGAGTTTGGACTTAGCTCTAAGGTTAATATTATGGATATCTTCTTTTTTATTGAAATTATGTATATTTTTAAGGGCATATAAAATATTTGAGTAAATGTACTGTGATGCCACAGTCATGATACCAGCTCCTTAAACTTTTCTCTGAGAGAAACCCGAGAGCCTAGATGGTCACAGAACGAATAGCTCGTTTTGGCAATACAAATATGGTTTGAATATCTGCCGCTATATTTAGAGAAAAAAAACATTATTAGAATTATAGAGACAATATTTGAGTAAAAACATCGGAACGACATGAAATAATAATAATAATAATTATTATAAATAATATCTGAAGTTAATGAAACCGTGCATGAGCGATTTCGTCCGCGCCGCGTAGTCACGCGGGAAACGTCGCTTCTTTTTTTTTTTTTTAATGGAAACTTGATCTTTTACGTGTTCCCCGGTAGTTATTTACGCACCCTCAAAATATTTTTTACATAACGCAGACCACTTGAATCATCCTATAAATCCCAGGGGCTTATCACGAACTCCTTAGATCATCCTATAGACTCCCAGGGGGCCCTACGGGCCACTTTGGGGAACTTGGTCCTAGAGTTTCTTCTTAAAACGGTCCATTCGCTACCTTGTCAGTCCGCCGCGCAGGCAGGCGACCACGTATGGAGTCGCAGGACGCATTGCAGGACGGCTTATACGCTGCGGCAACATTCATAATCTTGCATCACGCGGCAGACGGCAAGGCGGACTGCAATGCAGGATAATGACTGCCCCCTTTAAGTCTGTACAAATTTTGAACAAATTTCTCACAACGTAGTTACGTTGTAATTATTTTTAGCAAGTACCTATATGGAGCATTTTTACGTCCATATCGCAGAACCTTGAGTAGCAAAACCATAAATAATTATTGCTTTATCCACAGATTCAAATGCATTTGATAAGAATTTCCATACAAACAATTTGAAGTCATTGCTATTGTGAATATTTTTATGTATGATTTCAGGGTAGCCTAATTGATTTAAAAGGACGAAACATCATGATATTGTCATTGATGTTGTCGGGTGTAGCTTATGCAGTAACGGGCATCACCTCTTCAATTACTGTTATATTTCTTATGAGAGTTGTGTTAGGTAAGGAATTAGATAAGAACTAATCTCATTACAAATATACCTTAAAGATCTTTTCACTTCCTCGGTACGGATCACAACCTTGAATTAGAGGTCTCAAATGGATAATCTGCTGAAACCTCCTTTCACCCGCTCAGAGTATTTTAAAGACTCCTTTACTGTTAGGCTGCACAGTTATGGAATGAACTCCCGTCTGAAATCCGACATTCTAAATCTCTTCCTATATTTAAAACTGCATTGTGTAAGCATCTTCTGGAGCGATCTTAGTCTGCAACTAGTCTGTATATTTAGTAGTAAGTAGAAGTTTATTTCAGGGTCGTAATCCAGAACTCTACTCAATGCTCAAGTCAGGATCTGAGAGTCGTATTTTAGAACTCTACTCAATGCTCAAGTCAGGACTGGAGTATGATTCAAAGCACTAGAAATCATACTCAAGTCCTTGCTATTAGGGATGTATTTCCAGTGCTTGAAATCGTACTCAAGTCTGCTCAAATCCGGACTTGAGCATTGAGTGCAGTTCTGGAATACGACTCTGAGTATGATTTCAAGCGCTGGAAATACGACCGTAATGGCAGGGACTTGAGCATGATTTCGAGTCCTTAAACCATACTCAAATCCTGACTGAGCATTGAGTAGAGTTCTAGAATACGACTCTCAGTATACTTTTTAAATATGTAAATAAATACATATGTATGTAGGTAATATAATATTATGGCCATTTATTATTTCATAATATGATAATGTAAGTTTTTACCACTGGCACACTACATCTCCTTGTCTGTTCAGTTCTCCTTCGCCTCAAAGGTGGTCTGGCAGACATCGCTTTCAGCGATAAGACCGCTTGTGCCCACATTAATTCTAAGTACAGTCTACATTACATTAATACAGTTTTTGTTTTTTTTTTGTGTGTGAGCAATGAAGTGAATTATCTATCTATCTAAATACACACTTTAATAATCTTGTTCATGGACCAATAACTCGTGAGCACTGCTAATCGCAGTACAAGACGGCGTAGTCGGGTATTTAGTACCTATTAGTACATCAGCAGGCTTAGCATGAGGGAAAAGAGGCAAAACTTAAGCGCTTAGGTAGATATCTCTCTTCTCTACCGATTACGTCTCACCTCCGAGCACGACATAACAGAAAGAGAAACTCTCTACCATAGACAAAGTTTTCTCTACTTAACGATAAATCAATAATTCAATAAAAATAAAAGGTAACACTAATTTTGGTATTTAACCACCTATTTTTGTTAGGTACTCAAATATTATTGATATTTTTATTGAGTCGAAAGCGCATTTTGACAAATAAGGCAATGGCAAAAAAGAAACTATCTTGTGTTTCGTTTACTGTTTGTCTTTTGTTCTTTCAAATGTTCACGAAGTTTATCACCAAAATTTACGGGTTAAATTCTGGGTAATAAACGCGTGTCTTCCTTCACTTTGAACCTTACAGATATACATGTGACCGTTTGGGGAGCTAGATCGTTATTCAGTTCCTGGCACAAATATAATCTATTATATAATTTCTTTCACTTTGACAAGTTGCAATTTATCAAAGCTCAATCAAAATCAATACAGATTTTTGTGGATAGTGCCGGCTGTTCTTTTATTTTGTTTGGGATTAGCGCCATCTACCCATGCCTACTTGAAGAGCGTTGATTTGTAAATTAGTATTATTGCCAATTTCCGGCATCAAGCAAAATTATAGAATTGTTTTCCTTGATTTTTAGGGATTTTATGGCTTGTGCGAATATCGGCTACTTAACACACATAAATTGGAGAATTAACTTCGCAAAAGTCTGGCAACACTGGGACAGGTGCAATGACAGCACTGTTGTCAGATCTGTTGCCATTTAGGCTACTTGGAGGTGTCGCGCGGCGATTAAAAAAGTGTTCGGCGACTCGGCGATATTTAGGCTATGGTTGGAAAAGGCGCTTTTAGGCTACTTTATAAAATGTCTGGGGAATTACAAATTTCATTGGTGATTTTGAGGGGAATGGAGTTATTAGTTTACAACATCATTTGGGGGTTTGAGTATTTCTATGTGTGGGGAATTGGCAAAATAGGCGAATATCGGCTACTTAACACACATAAATTGGCGAATTAACTTCGCAAAAGTCTGGCAACACTGAGTGACAGCGCCCCTCAGACCTTTGCAATTTAAAGTTTATGCTCGTGCAACTGTTTTGGTTAGGTGTATAGCTTACTATTAGGCGCACGACTTAGCGCGGGAACACACGTCTGATGGTCGGATCGGATTCACTCAATATACGTCCGATTCTTTCGTCAGACTTTTTCTGAACTAACTGCAGTGTTGCCAATTTGTGGGAAATTCCTCAAATACAGGGAATTTCAACTCAACAACTCGTTAGGGGATTTTGTTTGGATTACGCTATGCGGGGAAAATGCCCTCGCATTCTAGAATTTTATTATATTTTTGTTACATTGATCATCACTGGTAAAAACACTATTTATTAGTTTGTTTATGAACGATATTGATATTTTTTTCAACGTCGCACATGCGCTGCTTATATAGCAACGTTTATATAGAATTATTAGCAAACCGTTTATATGCAAAAAATTATCCAGTAGGATTGGAATCACTTTATCTTGTATTGTAAAATTACTACTATTGTCAGTCACCACCAAGAGCCTGGCTCTTAAATAGGATGATGATGATCAGTCGGTGCGTGTTGAGCGCGCGACCCTTCCTCGCGTTTTGACCGGTTTCCGGTGTGAAAAAAGAATACAGCTGTTGCCGAACAAAGCCGAGCAGTAGGTATTTTAAAAGACTATCTACACACATCAGGGCCGTGCCCGGGACGTGCACGGGGCGTGCTAGTTTGTATGAACTGCAGGCCCGTTCCAGCGCCGGCCTGGACACGGACATGTGTGAACGAGTTCTGTTCAGGACGAAAACGTGTTCGCGCCCATATGATTTATAATATTGTAATTTATTATTGTAATTTATTATTGTTAATTTCGTTTAAGATTTTGGTAAATAA